TCTAATAATGATTTGATAATAATATAATATAATTTGCATAGTTGATCTATACAATATGAATTTTAATTTTAATTTTGGAGGGAAAAACTGTTGATATCGTGCACAAAAGATATGTACCAACTGACACACTGTACAATGGGAAGACGGGTTTACTTGATGTTTTGTGTTTGCGTTTGTCCATGTTTGTTGTCAAAAAAAAAAAAAACGTTTTTAAAAAAAGTCGTAAAATGGAGCAAGACAAATGTATCATTTAGCAACATAAATTTTGGGTTCAACTGTGGTCGTAGGTTGAGAACAGGTAGTGAAGAAAAGGCAGAGCACCTCGCATCTCCAATGTTGGTTACAGCTTATCTATCTAATAGAAAAACTTGATGTTCCAGCAGGCAGATTTTAAAGAGCAGGACAAAGGGATAGGTTTGAAACCTGAGACTGAAGCGGACATAGGCAGAAAATGCCTCCTCACTATGAATCATTTTAAATTTTCAGCAGATGAATTCTGTGGCAACTGAAGGCATGAGCTGATAGTCTCGTGAAACGTCCTTTGCTAAAAAAAAAAAAAAAGAAAATTCTGAAGAATTAGATGGTGCCAGAACAGTAAAAATCTTCTTTACCCTCAAAAAGTAAGATAAAGTAAATTCAAAAGAGCTAGAGTATTTACCAGACCAGACACTGGAAGCTAGCTGAAAGATTCTGCCACAGATAATTGAGAGAATGCACTATATTGCACTCTAAAAATGATGCAGTATCCAACAACAGCCTAGATTTGGCAGGAACGGATTTTGTTAATCATTTTTCTTAATTGACTACCTTTCTTAATAGATAGTGGGAATGCTGTGGATGCAATACATCTTGATTTAAGTGAAGCATTTGACAAAGTGCCCCACAAGCATACTGATTAGCAAATTTGTTTTCAGGTCTTCAGATACGAATTACCTCTGCTGCTCAAATAATACATCAGGAAGGCCATCTTGAATGTGTCTTTTTTTTCACTATAAGTTATATTTACAGTAAATCGTGTTCACAGCTATTGTTGTAATTGTGTATATTAATGAGCCTGACAAAAGTAACATAAATCTGTACACGAAAATGAATGGATGGACTTTCATGGTAAATTCTAGATTCCTCCTGGTCCAAGATAGACCAAGATCAGTTTGTTAGTTTTGAGGATTTCCTCCATCCCACCTCCTTTTTTACAATTTTCTTCCACTTGTAGAATAGAATAGAATACTTTATTGGCCAAGTGTGATTGGACACACAAGGAATTTGTCTTGGTGTAAATACTCTCAGTATACATAAAAGAAAAGATACATGTCAAGAGTCAAGAATCATCAGGTACAACACTTAATAATAGTCATAGGGTACAACCAGCAATCAAATCATACTAGGAAACAGTCAATATAAATTGTAAGAATACAAGCGACAAAGTTATAGTCCTACAATCAGAAGTGGGAGGGGATGGGTGATAAGGAGTGATGAGAAGATTAACTGTAATAGTAGTGCACACTTTGTAAATAGTTGAACAGTGTTGAGGGAATTATTTGTTTAGCAGAGTGATGGCTTTTGGGAAAAAACTCTTCTTGTGTCTAGTTGTTCTGGTGTGTAGTGCTCTATTGCGTCGTTTTGAGGGAAGGAGTTGAAACAGTTTATTTTCACAGCCCTCTTTTTGACTTGTGCAGTATACAGGTCCTCAATTGAAGGCAGGTGGGTAGTAATTGTTTTTTCTGCAATCCTAATTATCCTCTGAAGTCTGTGTCTGTCCTGTTGGGTTGTAGAACCAAACCAGACAGTTATAGGGGAGCAGATGACAGACTCAATAATCCCTCTGTAAAACTAAATCAGCAGCTCCTTGGGCAGTTTGAGCTTTCTGAGTTGGCGCAGAAAGAACATTCTTTGTTGTGCTTTTTTGATGACATTTTTGATGTTAGGTGTCCATTTTAGGTCATGTGATATAGTAGAACCTAGAAATTTGAAGCTCTCTACTGTTGATACTGTGTTGTCTAGTATTGTAAGCGGTGGTGGTATGGGAGGGTTTCTTCTAAAGTCTACCACCATTTCTACGGTTTTGAGTGTGTTCAGTTCCAGATTGTTCCAATTACACCATGAGGCAAATTGTAGAACCTCCTGTCTGTATGCAGATTCATCGTTGTCTCAAATGAGACCAGTCACTGTTGTGTCATCAGCAAACTTCAGTATTTTAACAGATCAATCGTTTGAATGCAGTCATTGGTATATAGGGAGAAGTAGAGATAGCACACAGCCTTCGGGGGGCCCTGTGCTGATTGTACAGGTATTGGATGTGATTCTGCCTAGCTTCATCTGCTGCTTCCTGTCTGTTAGGAAGCTTATGATCCACTTACAATTGTGTTCAGGTACCGCTAGTTGGTTTAATTTACTTAGAAGAGTGTCTGGAATGATGGTATTGAATACTGAACTGAAGTCTACAAAGAGGACCCTTGCGTAGGTATTTGGAGATTCAAGGAGTTGTAGGATGTAATGCAAAGCCATTGCATTACATCCTACATCATCTGTCGATCTATTTGCTCAATATGCAAACTGCATGGGATCTAACAGCAGATCCGTGATGGTTTTCAGGTGGGACAGCACAAGCCTTTCAAAGATTTTCGTAACTACAGATGTTAGAGCAACTGGTCTGTAGTCATTCAGCTCCTTGATGGAGGGCTTCTTTGGCACTGGGATGATGGTAGAACGTTTCAAGCAGAAAGGAACATAGCACTTCTATTGAAGTGATCTTTTGAAGATTCAGGTGAAGATGGGGACCAATTGGTCAGCACAGACTTTTAAGCAAGAAGGAGTTATCTTGTCTGGCCCTGGTGCTTTTCCTGGCTTTGGTCTGTGCAATAGATCTTGCACTTCATGTAAACCATTCCTTACAAGCTTTAAAGATCCAGGGTTCTCAAGCCGAGCACTCTCATAATCTCACAACCAAGCTCACCATTTGCATTGGTAAAGGCAGAACTTACTTTGTGTTAGTCCATCCTTCACTGTTTCCAGGGTGGCCCCGCAGGCCAGATCTAAACACCCCGTGGGCTGGATCCAGCCCGAGTTGGACACCCCTGCCTTAGTATAAATCTAACTAAAGCTTTATCAGTTTTGAGCAGCTTTTAAAAAACTCTTCAGTTTTTGCTTTAACTACTTTCCCATATCCAAGACATCCGCCTAGAGAAATCTGGGTATCACCAACAGTGAGGATTCCATAAAGACTTTCTCTCTGTCCATTCTTCAGTTTAATTCAGGAGGCTTAATTCTGATTTTGGAGGTTTCAAGGGCAAGATAGTTTAATGCACAGCTGGAGAAAATGTCCACACCAAGACTGAGATGGCCTGAGTTATGTGTCCATGCAACCACCACTTCAATCACTTGGAAATACCACTTGGCACCATTGATTCTTAGGCCAAAGAGGATAATGTGATGTGCTGTGTTTTTTGTCTAAGTGAAAGCAAAACCCCAGCTCTTGGATTTGGTATGAGGCTTTTGCAAAGGCTCCACAGATCAGCCCAATCCAAATAGGCAGACCTCTTGAGGAGTGGCCCCAAAAGCAGAGTCCACATCCTGGGAACCAGCCTCCAAGGCAAGACAACTTGGTCAGGAAGGAAAGATAGAAATCAAAGGCCTACCCGCTGAAAAGTTAATTTTATACCACGTGGCCAAATTCACATCTCCACTCTTCCTCGGGGATGGGAATGTTCTAGCAAGATCATCATCAGTTACTATTTCAAAAACCATAAAGATACCAAAGAATGGAAATGAAAAGGTTGGGAATATAAAAAGGAATCTGGGAATCGCCACTATACATTGCCTTCACACTACCCGATACTAATAGTGCAAGATTTTAGAATCTATTGTAGACAAAAGGTACAGGTCGTCTTCAACTTACAACCATTCGTTTAGTGACTGTTTGAAAGTGTATTGGCACTGAACAAAAAGCATTTCTCACACTTACAACCATCGCAGCATCCACATGATCATGGGAACAAATTTCGGATGCTTGGCAAATGGCATGCATTTATCATGATTGCAGTGTCCCGGGATCATGGGGTCACCTATTGTGGCCTTCTGGCAAACAAAGTCAATGGGGAAGCCAGATTCACTTAACAACCATGTTAGTAACTTTACAACTGCGGTGATTCACTTAACCACTGTGGCAAAAATAGGTTGTAAAATAGGGCAAAAGTCACCTAACAACTGCCTTTGTTTAACAATGGAAATGTTGGGCTCAGTTGTGGTTGTACCTGTATTACGAGAAGTGCTCCTTACCCCTTTAGAGAGTAAAATCAAATCAGCTTTTCTCTCTATGGCATCTGTCTAGTAAACTCACAAGATCCGTTTTTCTAGTCATGCACATGTATACATCCAAACTAGACTGTTGTTGTTTCTCTGTGTCATATAAGGTATGTGGGTATATACATAATTTTGTATTTATTTATTTTGTCATGTTCATATCATGTATATATCGTGTATGTATATGGAGGTAGTGACCCTTTGAGAGCTGTATGCAACAAAATTATTCTATTCTATTCTATTCTATTCTATTCTATTCTATTCTATTCTATTCTATTCTATTCTATTCTATTCTATTCTATTCTATTCTTACTCCTACTCCTACTCCTATTCCTATTCCTATTCTACTTTAGGTCCAGCATAATTTTAGATGACTTCAAAGATCTATGTAATTTTCTTGGAAACATTTGGAAGTGGTTTGTCACTTTATCCTTTCAGGATATATTTTTAAAAATTTTCTAGTTCAGGCTAAAGTATTCATAATAAATGCCCATCTAAGAATGAACCAGGGCCAATCCTGCTTAGAATACCTCTGGATATAAATAAAAAATAGTCCCAGGGAACTGGTGAGATCTTGAGGTGGCTGTTAACAGCTATTCTCTCTTACACCTTATGATTTTTAATTTTAAAAAAAATACTGTTTTTTTGTTTATTTATTTTTATTTCATTGTAACTATCCAGAGCCATTTTTTATGAATGTGCAGTCATATAAAGACAGGCAAATAAAAAAGAAGGAAACTGGCATTAAGATAGCTCCAATATATAAATACTGTATACAAACATTTCATGAACAATTCCTTCTTTCGAAATTAGTGTTGCCCATATTTCCTAGATCTTAAATGAGGAGCTGTCCAAATGCTGATTTACCTCAACTCTTGGTCAGGCTTAGTCAAGACACCAGCAGTATCCTAAAATCAAATTAACAGACTGGATCCTGCAGAACTGACCCAGCCAGTAAGATTTCATGGCTCTCGCATGAGATTTCACAAGATTTCAAGTAAGAACACCCACAACATCGCTGAAACTGTACAAGTCTTGGTGTATCTTGTGAGATTTGGGGGCCATCATTTCCTTTAATGTTATAATTCTTGGATGTTCTGCCCCCATTACACAACATGGCGCTATGCCACCCGAGGACACTGCCAGTGAGCAATGCTTGTAGTTTGAGGCAAAAGAGGGTTGTCCCCTATGTAGGAATTTCTTTTCTGCTCTTTATGTGTGTGTGTGCGTGTGTGTGTGTGTGCACCTTCGAGTCAACGTAGACACCTGGTGACTGCCTGGGTAAGTCCCTGCAGTTTCCTTAGCCAGGTTTTCCGAAGTGGTTTGTCCTTGCCTCTTTCCTAGGGCTGTGAGAGAAGGACTGGCCGAAGGCCCCCAACTGGCTTTGTGCCTAAAGCAGAACTAGAACTCACAGTCCTCCCCGTTTCTAACTTGATGCCTTAACCATTACCCCAAACTGCTTCCTGGGGTGCTCAGTAGGGTAACAGAAGGATACCTGGCTTTCACTCTGCACTGGGGGAGCCTTGCTCAGGTAACTAGAATTAAACCTCCAGAAAAAAAAAATCTAGCCCTTGTTCAATTACCTAAAATGCCTCAGGAAAGAAATTAAAACACAAGTCAAACAAGACATCTCTTCAAGAGGGGCGGGGGAACAGTGGGAGCGCCAGAAATAGCGCCCTGCTGTTTCCCAGTTTGTTTCTGCCATGATGAGTCACCTGCCTCTCAGTTTTGCACTGATGCAACAATTCTTTATATAAAAATGCAACCACCTGTTCATCGGGACAGACAGGGATGAGTTCCAGGTGTTCCTGGACTCGTTTTTTCTCCCCCCCAACCCCCTTCGCCGTATTGGAGGTGAGAGACCACATGCAGGTCTGCCTTGTTTGCTGTGTCTGTTATCAGGCAAGCCTGAAAGAGGCTCTTTTGTTTTTGGCTTTGCTTCTGGCAGAAAAACCCCAGTGGTGCCAACTTCCACCCCACAGGGGAAAAAAACACATAGCCTTCACACACTGCGTTCGTTTCAAAATTAAAGTCTTCATTCAAAATTAAGAGTCTCGTCCTTGGCTGGGCTCTTCCCGTGGGAGAAAGAGCTCCAAACGGAAGGGCACGCAGGTGCCCACAAGGCTGCCCTGTGTCTGTACAAAAAAAGAAAAGAGGGCAGGCATTCCCGAAAGACTAAGACTTCACCCTTTGATCCAAAAGGCAAGCGGCTGAACCAAACTTCGCTTTCAGATCAGATGCCCAGAGAGGCTGCTTCTCTGGTTACCTTGGACATTTGCTCTATGCTGCTCTAACAAGGGACCCAAGAGCCTTCTGATGAGCTCCCAGGGACTCCTCTATCCTATTCAGCAAGCTCTGTGGGGCAGCCCAAGTTTGAGGGGGGGAAAACTCCTGCTAAGAAGATCTCCCCTGCTTGCATCGAGACTGAATTCCTGACCAAAAGGCTCCCTGCATCCGATTATCAGAAGGCAAGACACTAACAGGATTGCTCACCAAAGAGTTGTGTTCTGCCTCTGCAACAAGCCATATACTTCTACAGACTCAAAAGTACCTCAGATGGCCGACATAAGACATTTGGGGAAGCACCAGGAGAAAGGTTGCTTAACTTGTCCGGTATGAAATTACTAATTGTCCCGTATGTTTTTGAGAGCGATCTCTTCTTTCCTACCAACCTAGCCTGGAGAGCTAATCTCTATTCTTCTTCTCAACCCATCCCCCTAGGTGCCAACGTCTATTTTTGGAAGAGATGGGTTGCATTCTCCAACCCCTGGCAAGCACAAGCCAGAAAAAAAAAACAGAATGGATGCCGCCTCTGGTACCTGGCCCTTTGTGCCTGCTGGTCTTGCAGGGGCCCATACCCAGGAGGTTTAGGTAATTCCTAAGCGAGGGGAGGAAGCCCCCGGCAGGCTGTTTCAGTTCAAGAGCAGCCGAGCGGATTCCAGGAACTGAGAAAGCACCCAAAAATCCAGGTTGCGCTGCTTGGTTGCCACACCAGTTGAGTCCACTGGGAAATCTTGAACCAACAATGGTTTATCTGAGGAAAAAAAAAGAAAGAAAGAAACAGAGATGAGATGAAGGACAGGGTGGTTCCTGCAGGTCAAGCACCTGCAAAAGCCGCTTCATAGTTAAGACAACTCAAAGCTGAGCGGAAGAGGAATTAAACCACACGGACATTTCTCAAGCCGAGCAGAGCTCGTTGCATCTACTGGCAGTTTACAAAGTAAACCTGGAGACAGAAAGTACTCACTGAACAGGACAGGTAGTCCTCGACTTACAACAGTTCCTTTAGCAACGACGTCACTGAAAAAAGTGACTCATGGCCATTTCCTCACACTTATGACCACCGCAGCATCCTCATGGTCACGTGACCAAGATTTGGATGCTTGGCAACTGGCTCGTACTGCAGTGTCCCCATATTGTGTGAAGACCTTTTGGCAAGCAAAGTCAACGGGGGAGCTTAACAACTGGCTTATTGATTCTAGAAGCTGCAATGGTTCACTTAACAACGGTGGCAAGGAAAGTCGTAAAATGGGGGCAAAAGTCTCACTTAGCAGCAACAAATTTGGGCTGAACAACGGGGTTGTCAGTCGAGGACTATCTGTATGTCAAGAGACCAGAGAATTCCGGTCGATAGGAATTGCGACTTTCCTATTTCTTGTTATTGTTTCCATTAAGCAAGCCCAGAAAAGTTTATTCAGCCTATCATCTGAACTAGGAGGTCATGGCTTATTTTCCCAAGGAAATCAGGATTCATCAGGAGTAAAATCCTAGTTGTAAAATGAAGCAACAGTCAGGATTCTTCAGTGCAGAGGCAGGCATCCTATGGTCTACATGATATTCTATGCCAGTGGTGGCTAACCGTTTTGGGCTCCTGTGCCAAAAATTGTGTACGGACATGCACTCTCATGTCAGCACCCAGAAGGCAATGTGTGCACGATCCCCCATGCCTGCCGCCCCTTACCTGCACTGTGCCTCCCAGTTGATTTTCGGCCCTTTTCCGGCCTTCCAGAGGCTTGAGGGAAGCCCCTGCAGTCTTTGCTGGCCGAAAAATAGGTCAGTTTCATCACTTCCTGTATTTCCGGAAATACGGGAAGTGGCAAAACGGGCCTATTTTTCAGCCTGCAAAGACTGCAGAGGCTTCCCTCAAGCCTCTGGGAGGCTGAAAATCAGCTGGGAGGCACACACATGCGCAGTGAGGTAAGTTTCACTGGGGCTCTCATGCCCACACAAATGGCTCTGAGTGCCACCTGTGGCACACGTACCATAGGTTTGCTATCATGGTTCTATGCCTTTTGGCATGGCCCATCATCATACTGGCCATTCCTTTCCCCCACAATTGGCTGCAATGCCCGGTTATAACGTAACACTTTCCCTACACCAGTGGAAGCGTTGAAGTATATCTACTTTCTTCTCCAGATTCTGCATTGAGCGAAATATGATTTCAGAGATTTTGTGGCAAACCTTGACCGTTTCTCTCCTCCCCAACTGACCCTGCCTGCTTTGCAATTCCTGCTAACGCGGCAGCTACCACCTAGCTTCCGATCAAATTCGGTATCTGGTTCAAAGAGAGAAGACCGATCTCTCTTGCCCCAACCTGGCCACATGCTGGATTAAGATCTCAGGTAAGCCCAATTCAAGGGCTTCCAGGCTTGGGTGGCCGGACTTCCATGCAGTATTAGCTAAGGACCCAGGCGGCCAGAATTCTTCCAGACACCTCAATCCACATTCTGGTAGAATAGAAAAGGACACACTCCAATTATTTCATACCGGACCGGGAATGAGTTTTACGTACCTACCAACTCACTGCCTTTCCCCTCCCAGGTCAAGCTCATGCAGTTATCTGGCGGTGGCTTCTACCGACGGCTTCTTCAGTTATGGTGCTGGGAGGGCTCCCAGACTGGGAGCCCTGCTGCCCCCACTGTTGTGAGCAGAAGACCACCATCTCCTCCAAGTTGCGCAGCACAGTCTCGGTGCCCTTGGGAGGCACCGGGGGGATCCGGGCTGGCTCCAGCACTCTGCAGAGGAAGGCAGGCAGGCAGCTGTTAGCAAACCCAGCACCCGGCATGCTACAACACTGTAATGGGTGCGTGGCAGAGGTGGTATTCAGCAGGTTCTGACCAGTTCTGAAGAACCAATAGAGGAAATTCAGAGAACCGGCAAATACCACCTCTGACTGGCTCTGCCCTCATCTATTCTCTGCCTCCCATTGAGTCCCAGCTGATTGGTTGGATCTTTCCTTTGTTGCCCTGCACAGGAGAACGGAGCTGGAAAGCAGGTTAGTGGGGTGGGGAGGGAATGGAGATTTTGCAGTAACCTTCTCCCAGGAATGGGGATTTTACCTTATCCTTCCCCTGCCACGCCCACCAAGCCACCCCCACAGACCCAGTAGTAAAAATTTTTGAATCCCACCACTGGTGTGTGGGAATGAGCGTGGGAGACAGGTGGGACAGCCACAGACTGGGAACAACTGGCATTTTAAGAGATGTCTCAGCCCCCAGAAGGAAAAGGGGCATGGAAAGCATTTCAGAAGGGCCCCTTCTCTAGTTTTCTAGGATAGGAGAAATACAGTAAACCTTGACTTGCAACAGTCTGTTTAGCGACTGTTCGAAGTTACAACGGCACTGAAAAAAAGTGGCGTAGGACCATTTTTCACAATTATGACCCTTGAAGCATCCCCATGGTCATGGGATCGAAATTCGGACGCTTGGAAACTGGTTCCTGCTTATGACGGCTGCTGTGTCCCAAGGTCAGGGCATCCCCTGTTGAGACCTTCTGACAAGCAAAGTCAACGGCGAAGCTGGATTCACTTAACAACCATGCCACTAACTTATCAGCGGCAGGGATTCACTTAACAACTGTGGCAAGAAAGGGGACAAAATGGGGCAAAACTCATTTCACAAATGTCTCCGTTAACAACAGAAATTTTGGGCCCAATTGCTCTCGTAAGTCGAGGACCACCTGTACTTTCAGTCTCGGCAAGATTCTGTTAATCTAACCTTATGAGAAGACAGAGTTAGTATTCCTAGTTGTGCTACCTTGCAAGGCTAACAAAAACTGATGATTTATGCAAACAGCTGCATTGCATGGAAAGCAGGCCTATAAACAGCAATAAGATCTGACCAGTGAGTCCAATCCCCATTTTACTGCAAGAGTCTAAATTAAATCGGGCGGGGTGCGGGGGAGAATGATGGCCTTTTAGTCTCCACTTGAATATGTCCCCTGAACACCACCTCCCTGAGGTTATTGGGCCCACCGCTTTACTATCAAGAAGTGTTTCCTGACATTCGTGAATAGAATGTGTGCGCTTAAATCCCTCCTTCCTCATCCCGCTGTCTGAGATGACAGAGGTCTCAATCTTACTCCTGGCTGGCCCCACCCACCCCGCCCCTCCGCTCCCAGGAGTCCCCACGCGGCCTGTTTTAGATGCAGGGCAGGGCAGGGTGCGCGCAGGAGGTCAAGGAGGGTGAAAAACGGGCCTCCAGGAAGTTTGGGAAATGGGCCCGCTTCTGGCTTCCAGACAGCCTCTGGAGCCTGGGGAGGGCAAAAACGTCCCTCCCCCGTCCTGATGCAGGAGGCCAACTAGGCCACACCCACCATGGCCACGCCCACCCAGCAATTGGGCAGAGAACCCTTTACTAAAATTTTTGAAGCCCACCCCTGGCCACAAGGCTCTCCAGAAGGGCCTCTCCTGCTGATCTAAGTAACTAAGCAGATTCACAGGCGTCCCCTTCTCCCCACACTGTGCAAGGCCAAGGGGTTTAGGTCTTTAATGGCCAATGCCAGGCTCTTAAATTGTGCTTAGTAAGCAACTGACCACCAGCGCAGGCTTTTTTCATCTAGGCATCATGTGATTCCTGTATCTTGCACTGTTTAGCAGCCTGATCACTGCGTTTTCTATTCATTGCAACTTCCGGCACTTCTCAAAAACAGCTCCATGTAAAACATAAAGTCAAGATGGGATTTTAACAAAGATGTGGATAATTGTGGCTATAAGTCAGACTGGTTTGGGAAACATTGCCATTGGCATACTAGCCCTAGAGCTGAAATAAGCTGTTAACACAGACATTATCTGGAGGGTAATGACTGCAGGGGGTCAAGGACTACAGTTGGACTATAAATCCACTTTTTCAACTGAAACTGCCCTTTGGTTCCTAAAATCAAGCAGCCCTGCCATTGCGTCTGGGATCACCTTATTCTCTCATTCAGACAACTCCTGAGCTTAAGCAGTATTCGAGGGTGCTGACTGTCTACGGAGATTCTCAGTCATGGTTGTCCCAAAGGTGCTTTTTCAAGAGGCAACTGGACTTTACCTGGGTTTTCTTTGAAGACATTTTGCTTCTCATCCAGAGCTGAAGAAGCTTCTTGGATGAGAAGCGAAAGGACTTCAAAGAAAAACCAGGAAGTCCAGTTGCCTCTTGAAAAAGCATTTTGGGACAAGGGTACTGACTGCTTTCTTGAGGTTAGTGTTTTTCAACTTTGGCAACTTTTAAGACGTGTGGAGTTTTACTCCCAGAATCCCCCAGCTAGCATACTGAGTAGAGAATTCTGGGGATTCAGTACATCTTAAAATTACCAAATTAGGGGGGGGGGGGGAAACCGAGCTAGTTTATAGGGAGCGCTAAAGCTTGGGTGTGAAGGAGTTTAATATTGCTTTATTCTTTTCTTTGCTATCTGTTACATTTTTGCCCTCTTCGCTGCATAATTGGTATATTGATTCTTTTCTTTTATTCTTTTGAAGATCTCTAAAGAAGTTCTTGTGATTATTTTTGACAGCTCCTTTGGAGTTTCCGCTTTCCTGAGTGCTTTCTATTTCCAGACTACTTCTCCAAGGCTTCTTTGTCTTTTACTCATCCCATTCCGTCCTAGAACAGTCCTTGATTACAGTATTTTCAGATCTTTGCTAAATGTTTTGTGCAGTCATGCTGATTTCTTTTGCTGCGCTCCATGTCTTTTTTTTTTCTTTCCAAATTGGAATCATCTGCAATGGTGCCTTTTGACTCTCTTTTTTTTAGGAACACTAATCCACGTACTTTGAGCTCTTTTTCCCATTTGCTTCTCCTGTCGCAAGAATAATTGCTCTGAACTCATTAAAATCCTCTTATTTTAAGCTCATGATATCCAGTCAATTACACTTAGCTTTCATTTCCATTAACAAAATAAAAGTCTAGCATGACATGGACACTTTCCCCCAAGATTTCTGCTATATCTAAGTCTTCTGTGGTGTTAGTATCAAGTCAAAACGGTCCCCTAACTTTTTGAAGGAAGAAGTTGTTAGTACAAGGAAAGCCACAAATTTCCTGGCAAAACCATGTTTTAATTTGTTTCCCAGAAGATGCTAAGATAATTGAAATTTAAAGTCATTACATTTATTTTATTTTTTTAAATCACTCAGTACGTTTACATGATATAAATCTCTGCTATACGTTGCAGAATTCGTACTTCTGAATAAAAGAATAAATAAATAAATACACACAGATCTGCCCTCCTTTTGCAAAACCCAACCAAATGAAAAGAATTAGAAATATAACGTCTCCTATTGATTAAATCAGAGACAGGGATGGTTAACATTCCATATTAGAGGTAATCTTTGCTGAACTATGTTAATTGTGACCAGAATTTCAATCACTAAGCAATGCATTCAGAAAGTGTGATGTCACATGACCACACCGCTCAGCAACAGCAATCCCAGTGGTCCCTGTTGCCGTTGCAGAGTGAGCATTGCGGGTTGTTAAGCAAGGGTCTCCTTGCAATTTCCTGTTGGGTTCCAACAACTGAAGTCAATGGGGAAGCTGGTGGGAAGTTGCCAGTGGTTCACAAGCAAGCTGATTGACAAGCATGTGTCATGCACAAGTGACTTCTGATCTGGGAGTGGCTGCTGCTGAGTGGGTGGGGAGGTGCACGAGTGGTTGCAGCGACACCCATGGGAGGTTTTACATCTGATGGTGGGTGCTGCAGGTGAGGGAGACTTAACCAAGCAACTTGCCACCACCTTCCTTGCTGGCTTTCCCATTGACTTTGCTTGTGGAAAGCTGGCAGGGAAGGTCAGAAACGGTGATCATTTCACCATGGGGCGACTACAACTTTCATTAAGTGTGCAACCACGGTTGTCAAGATCCCATGACCATGGAGCTGTGCAATGCTGGAACTTTGGGGACCAACTGTTACGTACCCCTCGTTCAGCCCCACTGCAACTTTGGATGTTCGCTAAGCGAATGGTTGGTAAGCGAGGACTGGCTGTAGCAAATTTGAAACTCAGACAATGTACAAGTATGAACTTTCCAGTCAAGGAGCCTTGTGCTTTGTCAAGTTAAAATACAATCCACTCTCCTAAATTAAAAGTTTTTAAAAGCATCTACCCACTTTATTAATCAACTTCTTTCAGAGTTCTTTTGCAAGTAAAAACCCTCTTCATTTAAGGGAAGGAAGTAATCAGGATGAGGGAGAACTTGACAAAGAAAAAGTTTAGCAGGTCTAATGCTTAGAGGAAAATCCTCTGTTGTCTCTATGAGATATATCTGCTGCCAATTACCACTGCTAAAAAAAAATTAAGTTACCCTGCATTCAATATTCTACTTTCTTTATTTTTATTGCCTGGGACAATGGAAAGCAGTGAAAAAGAGGGAATATGCTTAACTCCATGAGATTATTTCCAAAATACCATGGCAAATTTTTTTTTAAAAATTAATCCTCCCCTTGGCCCCAAACATTCTCTGGGAAAGTTAACCAATCCTAAAATAAGCCTCGGAGATATTCTGGCTACTTACCTGTCTGAGGAAACTATGCCTGTGTGGCTCATAGAACGTCTAACCTGAAGGATGGAGGGGAAAAAAAAAAAAAGCATACAATAGCACTTAAGACTTATATACCGCTTCACAGTGCTTTACAGCCCTCTCTCAGCAGTTTACACAGTCAGCATATTGCCCCCAACGACAATGGTAAGGACATAAACACAAAGTAACATCTTGCTGCTCTGATTGGCATGTGCATGGATAGGTACAACTTCACAAACCCAAATGCTTTGAGGGGATAGTCACTGTAGGTGTACAACTACACATTCTGTTTTTTTTTAAATTATTAACCCAGTTTGACTTTTTTTCTGTAGCTGTGTAGATTCTGGAAAAATGGTCTCTCTTTAGTTTATCAGATGTTTTAAGGGCTTAATCTCACAGATGACATCTTTTAAACCATCTGCCAACTACTTAGCTGATGTACTTTCCCAAATTGTTGACCACTAGGGAGACTTATCCCCAGTCATTGGTGCCAGCCAAATCAGTAACAGAAGCAAACTAAGATCCGGAGGTTCCGTGCAAAAAAACAAATACAGTAGACAGTTGTCTATTTCTCATCATAAAGTAAGTCTAAATTACTTTTATACTTCATATCACCCTTCACCAACTGCCTATAGATAACTGCAATTTGTAGCACAATAGGATTCATCTTGAACGGATGGAATGGGCCAACTCGCCACAACCAACTCACCACGGCAAACAACTTAACAATTCAATTTAATTATTTCAAATAAATAAAACGTTATTTTAATTTTTGCCATTCACATTTCCTTTCGTCCCTCCTTTTGCATCATTTCTTTAATGATTCTATTCCACCATTTCTTTGATGGAGAAATGGTGGCAAGTTGGCTGTGGCAAGTTGGCTGCTGTGGATTGTCATAGAGTAGGCCCTGGATAGAAGATATAGCTCCTAGGTCAGGGGTATCAAACTCGATTTCACTGAGGGCTGCATAGGGTTATGTTTGACCTTGAAGGGCCAGGAGCGGGGCGTGGGGCATGGCCAGGTGGGCCTGTGGCCACTGTGGACGTGACCTGTGATGGCCAAGTGTGATGGCTAAGGGGGGGACTTCCCTGAGACCATCCCTCACTCTATTATAGTCTTCCTTCCTTCCTTCCTTCCTTCCTTCCTTCCTTCCTTCCTTCCTTCCTTCCTTCCTTCCTTCCTTCCTTCCTTCCTTCCTTCCTTCCTTCCTTTCTTCTCTTTTTCCTTCCCTCTTCATTCTCATTTCTTCTTCCTTCCCCACTTTCCTTATTTTTTCTTCCTTTCTCTCTTCCCATTTTTCCTTTTTCTTTGTCCTTCCTCTTTCCCTTTCTCGTTCCTTGTCCCTTCTTGCATGCTCAAATGCAAAAGGGGGGAATTTTCTCCTTTTGTTTTGTTTTTAGTTTGTTTTGATAGCCTCTTGCCAGCAAAAACTGAGCTCAGAGGCCCTGTGTGCTGGCCCCCGGCAGTCCGTTTTCAGCCTGGGACAGCATCCTGTAGCTCTCTGCCAGCAAAAATGGAGCCCCCCCCCTCCCAGCTCCGTTTTCACTGGCAGAGGATGCAAGAAGCCACCGTGGCCAAAAACAGAGGCTGGGAGGGCCGTGCACGGCCACCCCAACCTCTATTTTCACTAGCAGAGGTACCACAGGCTGGTCCCTTGCTGTTTCCAGGCCTGCCCCATGGGCCAGATCTTAGCATCCTGTGGACCTTGAGTTTGACACCCCCTCCTAGGTATTAAAAAAGCAACTAACTCAATAGGATTAAGGTGTGAAAATGGCAGTTCTTAGAAGCCAAAATGAAAGCCATGCTGTAGAATGGCAACTTTGTTCCAACTGGTACAAAACATACAACTTTTCTAAGGAATGTAAAGACTTCCTGTAAGTACCTGTGAGACTTCCTGTGAGCAAATGCTTAGCTAACTTTTGCTAGCTAGCAAGAGAAGCTTTCTGTGGGAAAATGCCACCGGATACTGGATCCATGTCAGCATAATCTCTCCGAAACAAAGGAGACTGTTGAGATCATCCCATTTGACCCTGGACAGCCTCTCCTCATGAGTAGACCACAGAGACCCTCGTTTTTATGGTCAGCTTAGCTGATAGTCAGGATTTTTATGGTCCGAGTAGCTGATAGTCAGGATTTACGTCAAGCTAAAACCCACAAAGCAGCCTTTATAGACATTCAGCTTGACCAAGCCTTATATCTTAATCACTTTTTGGATTTTTTTTTAAATTCTTTGCATATTAGAGAGATTAAGACCCTTTAGAAAAGGTTTTACTGAATTCATCAGATGAGGGTGGGGTTTTTTTTGTCTTCTTAAAAGACGGTGCAAATTTGATTTTAAAAGTTTTAAAAAATCATTTTTGGGGACTACGCAGCAAAAAAGTGCTTAGTATACGAATTTTGGAAAGCTAATGATGGATTAAGCATCCAGAAGGATTTGGAATTATAGCTTTGAATTATTTAGAAGATACTTTCTCATGGGAGAAGGGAGATTGATTTCATTTTTTTTATGATAAAGACTTTAGAGGCAGAGTGTAAAGAAAAAGGAGCAGAAAACTCTAGTGCAAACTTTGGAATACCTCTCAGACAAGCTTTTGCACAGAATGGATCAAACCCTTGATAAAACTGAAAGAGCGTGTTCTGTTGAAATTGTAAAACAAGAGCGAGCTGTAACAGATATTGATGAAATTAATTTGAAGGTTGGTTTAAATGTAATATAAATGGATCTAATGGATGACTTATTCCCTAAAGGAGATAAACAGGCATTAAATCAGGAAACTATTTGGACAATTTCTTTCTTCTGGATATGCAAAAGAGCTTTGCTAAGAAAGTTTTTGGAAGTAATAAATGAAAGGCTCATTTTTACTTAGGAATACAAGTGAAATCTGTTAAAATTCTGAAGAATTTTTCCTTTCAAACAGAGATGAACAGCAAATTAACTCTGGGACTTTTAAAAAGGAGGTTAAAGAGTATTATTAAAAAAATCAGAAAACAATGTATCCTGTTTTGTGTTTTCTTTAAAGAAAAAAGTCAAATTCTCTCTCAATTTTCTGTTTAAAGCCTTTTTCCTTTAATATCGTATTATTTAAAGTCCATCTAGATCTCCTTTATATAACTTGTGAGTAATGGTAAAAAAAAAAAGGATAGCACAAAAGATTGTAACCAATTGGCACACTGTATGTATATAAGTGAAAGAGGGTTTTATGTTTTTATGTTTTGTTTGTATGTTTGTTGTAAAAAATAAAAACTTTGTTTAAAAAAAAATCAGAAAAGATTTATAAGATTGGCTTTTTCAGTCAGGATGAAAAGAAGAAATTTGTTGCATCTGGCCACCTTACTGGACATCTGCTGACAAAAATTGGTTGACAGAGTATTTGGACTGTTTTCTTTAACTAAGAGATGAACTATGGGGAAAAGAGAGACTATGTTTTACTTAAAGATGGCAATAAGCTATTAAAATTGTTTTAATTTAACTGCTAGGATAAAGGGGGAAGTTATTTCTTTATTTTTCATTCCTTTTTCATTCCTTTTTCTTTTCTTTTCCTTTTTCGCACATACATACATTTTCTTTTTCTTGTATATTTATGTTTATAATTTTTATACTTATTGCATTGTACAGCATTGACTTTTATTCTTTTCCTCTATAATTCTTAATAAAATTATTTGAAAAGAAATAATGTAGGCTACAGCAGAGCTGTATATATTGTTATAGTTTTCATTAACGTAGCATAGACATAATGAATGCAATTAAGGGTTCAAAGTACTAGCAGTTTCTTCTATATCTAAAATGGGCTGGTGCAGCCTTATCTGAAGAGAGCTTTCCACAACAAGAAGCCTTTTACACTACAACTCCCAATAGTCTTTTCTAAAATAGCCAATATTTCAAGGATACTGAAGGGAATATATTTGTCAAGTGATTTTTTCCATATTGTGAGATCAAATGATTACTCCTCCTCAAAAAAGTCTTTTTTAAAAATACCCATGTATAAATCAAAGAAATACAAATATACAGAACTTCTAAATTAGAATGGCTTTTTAACTTATAGAAACATGTAATAAACTTATCAACAGATACATATTTCACATGTAAAAACAAAAAGACAAATGCCATGAGCATTATGAGCTTTTTCAGCACATACACTAATTCTGATAAAATATAAAATGATCAGTGTCAGGAATTTCTTTCGCTTTTGAGGTTTCATTCATTTAACATTCAGTAAAAATGCCTCCAGAATGGTTCTTTGGTTATTATTTCCCACAAGAAATGAAATCAGGGCTACCAATTTGGTGGTCTCCAGACGTTTGGCACTAAAAGGCATACATTCCAGCTGCCATAACCTTTGGTCAAAAATTCAGGGGGGAGTCAAAAGGATTTACATGGAACCAAGTTGCCTATTCTTGATTAATTCTATGAGAATGAAAAACAGCACCGCAGCACCGTGACAATCTCTTTCCTGGCAATGTGGCATAAATACAGTGTTTTTTTCCAGAAGCAACCCAACTGAGCTTCTTACTAGGGTGGAACTAATGACTATAAATAGGAAGACGACATAAGTAGCCTTACCCGGTGGGAATGTGGAAGTTTAGTGCCTACAAAATCAGAAGGCTCGGGGATCACTGAAGGATGATACAGCTCAGGAGCCAAACGAGTATTTGCAAATTTCATGCATTCTTCTAGGGTAGAGATGAACTGACTGCAGGTTGCCCGTAATAAAGACGAAGCTTCATTCATCTTCTGGTGGGAGTTGAGAGCACAGACAAGTGAAGGAGCACTATTGCATGGTGGCCTTTCCATCCTAACCCTCAGAGCCCCACCACCCAATCAGAGAGGGCTTGAGAGCTAAAAGGCTCAATTCAAATGTTCAGTTGCTCTCTACGTGCCCATTTGGGCTTCCAAACAAGCCAACTCTATAGATCAGGGGTGTCCAACCTTGGCAACTTTAAGATTGTGGACTTCAACTCCCAGAGTTGAAGTCCACAAGTCTTAAAGTTGCCAAGGTTGGACACCCCTGCTATAGATGAACATTAATTCTCCCTTCAGGTGCATGAAACAACTGTATCACTTCAGCCAATCAACATTGGTATTACAAGCTTTGAAATTCTACTAGAACACAGGAAATGATATCAAGCACTCTTTCCTGAAGTCACTCTGCTCACCCTGGATTTTTGCTTACAGTGCAGTTAAAATAAGAATGCAAACCACGGCAAAGAACTTGATTCTCCATTAAGATCTGAAGCCCATCTTTTAAAAGGGCGATGAAAGAAAAAGCGTCATTGCCTATACTATGAATCACCTGCAACTTTTAACAGTGGTGGAGCAATATTGAGACAAATTCACCTCTATTCCCATTCCAAAAATCTGTTCCATGGAAAAATAGGAGCATAATACATTTTTGATAAAGCTCTGGAAACTCCCTAAGGCTATTACTTTATAAATGTGGTACAGAAACAGCATGAATTCTATCTTTTTTTTTTTTACTCTGATAGAGTTCCAATTATAAGTTATTTACACTGGAAATAAAATGAAATCAACACTTTCAAAAGCTTCAAAATTATATCCCCTACATATGCAATCAAAGCAAGTACTGAGCTAAATGACAAAACATCCAGGTTGGAGAGCCAAGGCTGTTGAACGTACAGACATTAGATCCAGGCCACTGAGGCATGGCATTTTTCCAACATTGTCATAAGAATGGAAGAATATTCCAGTGTTTCTGTTCGAAAATATACTTATGGCATTAAGCATGCGATTGAAAAAATGTTAAAAGATTGGCAATTATTTTTGGAACAATGAATAAATTGTTCAAAAAAAAAAAACCCTGAGGAATTTTATTTTAGCACTTGGATCAATTGATAAATCACCCATGTCCAAAAGATTAAATAGCTGCACTTTTGATTATGCATCACAGATTTACCTGTCGATCGACAGGTTTTTATTTGTTGAATTTGTGATTGCTTCTGAGATGTCCAGCTTTATAGGTGGGCCTGATCTGTGCCACGTGCATTAATATATTAAAGGAGACGAAGTAAAATGTATGTTCAAGCCTCAATCAAACCTATAGATGTTATTTGGTGAAATGGGGTTTGCAAAGGAAATTCTAGGTGGGTTGTGACCTTTGTTGATAAATGTGAACAGGGGCAGCATCTGGATCTTTCAAGCAAAAGGAAAAGATGCCTTGCTTCTTTTATATCAGACCATCTCCAAAACATAGGAATATCTACTTCACATATCCATAAAACAAATCTAGAATCCTTAGTGGCTCTTGAATATTTGCACTGTTATGGGGTCTTAATTCCAAGGTACTGCACAACGACTGATTGTGTCACCTGGCTCTTGAGACCTGTGGACTACGAACTCCTATTGGCTCTGTGGCTGAAGCTAATACAAGACCAGGAAACCTAGAGGGCTCTCAGCTTCCCATCCCTGTCCAACAGTGATCAGAAATCAACTTGTCAGAGAATTAATATTCCACAGATTCCTTACCAGACCTGGCTGGAACATGCACAAACAGAACCTGTGATTGTTCTGGATTCTCTCCCACCTTACCTGGATGTCCAAAGGAGATCCATTCTCTTGAGGTTGCGTTGCATCCTGCACAGCTAGCACTTGCTGTGTCAACGCATCACAATATAGACGCAGTTCGGACAGTTTCCTTCCAAGGGACTCGTTGCTTATGTCCAGATCTGGGATAGACAAGCAAAGGAGTTACACAAGACACCACAAGAACATTCACACAGCACCACAGAGAATGGGAGGCTTAAAGCAGAAACAGAATTAGTTCTGATTGTGCCAGTGAAAAAGTTGCTCCCTCTATCGTATCAAGATGACCTCTGAGATGCCTTCTGTGATTTCAAGATGCAGATACCTTTGAGTATTGATATGTGGATAGAACCAACACTGAAAATAAAATGCAAATGATGTAATGTGCAATGTAATATAGATTGTCAACGTATGTTTGTTTCATGTACCCTTTTTCAGTACTGAGTAAAAATAAATATATAAAAAAGATTAATAAAACCAAAACAACTTCCTCTGCTTCAGTGAAATGCCACCAATTTATCTCTGAAACCCAAAGGCATCTATGTGATCCAGGAACACAGAGCTGCTTTAAAGAATTGCTGTTAGGTGTGTTCATATTCCCCCATGCTCTGAAGAACTTTTTAAGGAAGAGTTTGCACATTGCACCAATCTGGGTTGAGTTACCTTCTTGGACTAGTGAACACACGTGCAATTTTGAAAGGATGTTTCAAGCCCTTTTACAACTTACTTTTATTTTCTAAGAATATTGTTACTCTGTGCCATGACACATGGCAGATTAAGCACTTAAAAAAAAAAATAAACATTTTGAAACACTGAAAAAATCAGATGAAGCAGAGACGTTGGCTGGTACCAAGGAAGGTGCCTATAGACAGCACATAATCTTTATTGAACTATGCCGGGCCTCGATAATTCTTTAACACAGCAATATGAAGAAGCAACTAGGAGGTGGTGAAGCAAAAGAGAGCTGGCTTAGTGGCTTTCTGTGAAGTAATAGAGGGAAAAAATATGTTAACTGCAGTGGGTGCACAACTGCATCTGTGTGGGTGGGATGGAAGAAAACATTTATCACCCAATCTGCCAAGACAAGCTTAGGCTTAGCCACCATCTCAGTGGTATTTATTCTGGGAAATGTACACATAACTTATGTCTGTGCACACACTCGTGGTTCCAAGATATATTTAGGGAAGTAGAACTTCAGAATGGTCTTACTAAAATAAAACACCAGTTACAAAGCACGGGAAACATTAACAATCTGCAGAGTAAAAGGTGAAGGATCACTAGAAAGGCCTACAAATTGCCTAAATATACATTAAAAGTATTCTAAGCACAATCTTTGACTTCCTCCCATGCAAAGCAACTGAGGTCCCAAGTTACATTAAGTGGTGACTTCTTTTGCCTAAGTGAATGATATACATCCAGGCAATAGTCAAGTTTGCCTGTAGTTAGATTTACTATGGATCCGAAACCGAGTAATTGTGTAGGTTGGGGCTGAGAGTGCTTTAACCAAAACAGGAACACATGCTTTGTGCTATAGTAATGTGACTGGGTACAAACTAAAAAACCCGCAGGGGTTGCCACTAATCTGCTAGGCATAGAAACAGCTGGTGGATAAGCTATATACTATAGCCTTCCTGACAGCAACATAAAGCTGCTTTAATCTCTTTTCATATCCTAAAGGGGGGATTACTTGGAGGGATTAATATCCCCCTCCCTTATACTCAGTGATTTAGACCTTTGTGGGGTTCCTATCTGAGTTTCCCCCATTGAAACTGGGGCTGCTTGCTTTAAAGGGGGAAAAAGTTAAGTGACGGGTGACAAGCCCTTGCAAAAGTAGCCATTTGATATCGACATGACAGGCAGTGGGAAATTTAACATATAGGCCTGTGGGAAGATGTTACCCACGAATGATGGTAAGTTAACCTTGATGCTTCACATGAACTATGTCATATGCTGATTCAGGAAACCTTGGTTGAAATAAGCTATGGTTTATTGTGATCAGTGAACCCAGTCAGTAAAATAATGCTGCAATCGGTCCTGGAATTCATACTTCTTTCTCTGTACACCCAACCCTTCATTATTCTCATGGAGTCTTAATTTTCTTGGGTTGAGCATGAACAGTTTTATGAACCAGTTGCAACGTTTTTTTCCTGGGTATCCTCAGAGACTGACCAATGGGAGAAACACTACACTTGTCCATAGGAATGTCTATGTTCTATCCAGGGGTGGTATTTAGCTGGTTCGGGCCGGTTCGAGCAAACCGGATGTTAAATTTACATTTGGTTCACAGAACCGGTAGTTGAACTGGCTGGCTGGCCCCACCTGTCCCGTTTTGGATGCAGGTAAATGCAGAGTCTGCGCGGAGGTTCTGGGAGGGCAAAAAACACCCCGCCCGGAATTCCGGAAACGGGCCTGTTTCCAGCTTCTGGAGGGCCTCCAGAATCTGGGGGAGGCTGTTTTTGCCCTCCCAGAGGCCCCAGGGAAGCTTCCAGACTCTGGGGAAGGCGAAAAACGGCCCTCCCAGACATTCCGATAGGCCATGCCCACTATGGCCACACCCACCCAGCAACCGGGCGGAGAATGGGATGTTGGGATTTTTGAATCCCAACCCTGGTTCTATCATTTAAATAATGGATTTAAAAAACACCCTAAAGACTTGCCTTTCAAAAGGGGGAATCAATTCTGTTCAATCCCTCATTTTATCGATCCTACAATCACAGCTGAGCCCCAAATTTCTGTTCTTGAGACATGTGTTAAGTGAGTTTTGCCCCATTTTCGGGCTCTCTTGCTGCAGTTGTTAAGTGAATCACTGCGGTAGATAAGTTAGTAACCTGGTTATTAAGTGAATCTGACTTCCCCATCGACTTTGCTGGTCGCAAAAGGGGATCACATGACCTTGGGAGACACAGCAACAGTCAAAAATATGAACCAATTGCCAAGCATCTGAATTTTGATCACATGGGATCACGGGGATGCTGCAATCGTTGTAACTGTGAAAAACAGTCCTAAGTCACATTTTTCAGTGCTGTTGTTAACTTTGAACGGTCCCTAAACAAACAGTTGTAAGTCAAGGACTATGTGTACCTAAAAATAATCCAGTTATTAAAAATAGCACCAGGGACCCGAGAGCACATTCAGTGCTATTTCTACACTGTGTTCTTCTCTTTGGATCTTGACATCCATTTCTCTAACCCGCTGTAGGCAGTCAGCAATCTAACTATTATGGGAATTCATATATGCAAACATGGGTGTAAATGGAGGCGAGAGGTTGCAAATGGCTCAACAAACCCAGAAATGTTTGCTAAGGAGGTGTGAGAGCAAAGTACTCACTGAAGTTGACCAAGTATTTCCACTCAGTAGTAACCACCTCTACCAACAACCCCGTAAGCTTGGGCCCACATAATTCATTAACACAAAGCTATTGACCAAGAACCAACCTTTTTCTTTCTGGCTTCTGCTGTCCCCGAGGCAGGCTTTGGAGCTGCCCAAAGCCACCAGCCATTTCTGTCTTTCAGCAGCACCTCCTGCTTTCAAGTAGAAGTACTGCTCACCTGGGATGACCAACTCCATACGAGTGGAATCAGTTGCATGCACTACAGGAGGAATGAGAGAAATAACAGGTAAATAAAAGCGAGCATACAATTATCAGTACCTGTTGAGGTAATTCCCTGTTAGGAGAATGAGTGCATACAGTATTTGAGAGAAGTGTTTGAATAATACACATGCAGCACACAGATACACTGTACAGTAGATGTAGCTTTTTACTTCCAGAAATGTTAAGCAAAGTCCAAAATAGGCAGTCCAAAGTCATTCACAGGTAAATCAGTCAGTTTTCAATCCAGGGATAATTCAATAACAAATTCCAGTGTCAAAAACAGTTCAGTATCAGACTTACATTAAATCCAGAAGTATCAGTCAATTAGGAAAAATGGAGGAATGGCAATACTTTCCAACAGAAGGAAACAGAGAGACTCACTCAGATACACTCTCTTCTGAAACTAAGGCCAAAACAACCCAGGTTTCTGGCTCCCTCTTATGGCCGTTTGAGTAACCACACCCAATTGCAGTTTTTAGCATGCTCTTAAAGAGACAGTATTAAAATGTCTATCCTGGTTTATATATTTCTAACCCAAATAGCTGTTAGGCGACCCATATGCCTAACAGTACCTCCCCCAATTCTGCCACGCACAGGGTCACACTCATTATTTATTATGTCCAATATGATTTCATGGCCACCAATTGTAATTCCTACCTTATATAAGATGAAGGAGTAAGAGGGGAAAATAAATCTCTTTTCACCACTCAAGAGATATTCTGGGGCTAAAGGAATATCATGTCCTCAGTTATGTAATCTGTATGAAGCACAGACCATAATAGCAAAGAACCCAACCAGAAGGCTCCAGATGGAACACATCAACCTAATAAAAATTAGCCTAACTGAATGAAAACACCTTTAAAAGTACCAAGTTTTGGAACACTGTTTCAAGTTTTTGGAGCTAATAGCTTGATTTCCAAATGTGCTTTTGATAACGAGACATAAAGTCTGCCGACCTCATTTACTAATATTTGCAGATCAAGCTACTGATCAATCAGAGTGGCGAGTTTCCCCCCCACCATTTATTTGGCATATGCATAAGCCTCCTACAGATTGTCCTTGATGTACAGTTTAAACGTAAGATGGTGCAGAACACGCTGAATTATAAACACTGCCTGAAGTTACAACCATTGAAGGGTTCCCACCTATCTTTCCTCTCAATCTCAGTTGCTCAATCAACCCGCTAGTGTGTACAAATCTGCCACTCCCCTACTTTAACTTGCTCACTGCCTACTTCGTCACCAATGCGTGCGTAATCTAGGCTCTGCAGCATGCAATGAATCAATGTAACTTGCATTATTGTTAGACTACCAGTCCACTGTTTGAAGGCTGAAAAGCAACAAGCCCAATGGACCATATCTGGGGTCCTAGATAGTAACAGTATATAATTTGGGCTTACACAGTGGTTTAAGATACCAATGCCAGAACCCAGAAGACTGTGAATTCTAGTTTTGTCTTAGGTACAAAACCAGTAAGATGACCTGTGCAAGTCATTCCCTCTCAGCCCTAGAAGAAGACAAGGGCAAACCAATTCCAAAAATGTTTCCAAGAAAGCTTCATGTACTTGCTAAGGCAAAGGCCATAAATCAAGGTTAATTCAAAAGCACCAAAACTAGTTATAATTTAAAAAAATCCAAAATTAAGAAAGAAACAAGGTGAAGCTGCTGCAGTTCTTAGCAGAAAACCAAAGACAATGCAGAACACCGAATAGAGCAAAGTTTGGGAAAGATAAATTATGTTACATCTTTTCTACTCCATGTATAGTACTGAAACTGCCTACCTTTGATTTCACATACAGCCATCTTGATGCTGCCTTTGCTGCCTTTGCCCACATCGTCCTGAGAATCATAATAGGAGAGGATGCCATTTTCTAATACAAAGTATCGTGGCTGCCAACCTGAGGCAGAGAGGAAAAAAAAGAGGGCAAATTGGACCTTGTAAACAGTTTGCAGTGGGGGTGGTGGGGGTGGGGGTGAGGGAAATCAACTAAGCTTCCCCATATGTTTGGAATTAGATTAACTTCCCAGGAATTTTTTAAAATAAATTGACTAGGGTGGGCAACATGGTCCTTGGGGTACTATTCTTAATTTTTGCCAGGCTCCTTGCCTCTCCATAGTTATTGTTTAAAAATATTATTTATAATTAAATTAGAAGCAATCATGCTGTTGAAGGCTTCTTATTCATAAACCACCAGATACACACACCAATAGACCATAATAACATTTGTCATGCTCTCTAGTTTAAAGCTACTTGGATTTTGGCCCAAGATGTGGCTCAATAGATGGAACCCACAGCAGATTCACCCCACGAAGAGCTTCCATTCCACTCCATCTAGGGAAAAATCAGCATCAGCAAATGAAGTTTTCTATTCAGGAAATCTCAGGAAATTGAGTTAGCACCCAATCTATTTACAGTTTGGAATACCCACCAGGAGGAATCTTATCTGTTCCAGATTATTGTGATTTTGGCACCAGGCATTTCTCTTTTCCTTAGTATTCTAGGATTTTAAGCCAAGCCTTTAAACCCAGATTATAGAAAATAATTCTAATTCCCTGCATGAAATGACAGTATTACTGTATTTTAGGTTCTATTCCCTGTGCTTTTTGGAGCATTGTTCCATTTTTCTACTGGATTACATGAAGTGTTTATTCTTTTATATAACCCACCCAAGAGGAAGTTTATTGTTCAGTATTTATAAATAAAAAATTAATCAATTCCTCTCCCCTCATATTTTACCTTATTTATTTATATCCCATGTTTCCTCTAACAGTTCAAGGTGGCCTTATCTCCATCTATGCAATAAGCTGCTGGAGAGTATACCCCCAGCTCAATCCCACAGTGAGTTTTCAGGGCTGAGGGCAACATGGACTTGGAATTTACTAGCTGCCATTCTTCAACTAATTGTATTGGCTTATGCATATGGCTACTCTGAGAACCAAGTGCTTACTTACCCTGCATTAAAGGGATGCCCATAGCATGCTTTTATATACTGTATACATTTCAAGAATATTGGCCATAAATATTTTGTTTTTTAAGTAGAACCAAAAAAGGTATATATACACTGCCATGAAGATTAGAGCTATCAATATAGTGACTATACACACTTTATTATAAAGGCCAGTTCTTTATTTCAGAAAGCTGTACTTTAAATTTATTTACTTTAAATTAAACAATGGATTAAATAATATCTAATTAAAAATTATTAATTAATAATTAAATCTACTTTGGGGGGCAGTTAGGGTTTTGGGTTTTCTTTTGTTAAAGCAAAGTTATAAACACAAACAATAATTGTTTTATCTTTATGAATCTCTTTCAGATTTGCCCCCACTGTGGGCTTGTGCTTTATGTCTTCCAAAAAAAAAAATTATGATCACTTTTTCCACAAACTGCAGTTCTTCACAGGCCACCTGGCAACGGTCGACGTTTATTCTTTCCCTGCGATTCCAAGCTGGAGAAACCGATTTCATGTCTTCCAGTCCCGCAGCGCTTAAAAACAAACAGTTCTTCGAGCAATAAAATGCCGACCCTCCCGACCCGGGAAGAAGAGGCAGGGTTCCCTTGCAAAAGGATTCGTGGCATTTCGGGAAGAATCCGAAAGGGCGAGACCCTGAGGAACGGAGTCCCGTCTGCGGGGAACAAAGATGGGAGGAAGCCTGGGCTGCTGCTGCTGCTGCTGCGGGTGGTGGGGGGTGCTCTTTCCTTATTTCTACCAGGGCTTGCGTGGCTAAGGGGCGAGGATAACAGGCGGGCGGGGAGCCGAAGAACCCACGTCCGAGCTGGGGCGACCTCGAAGCCAGGCCTGCTGGAACACTCCCCACTCACCTGAAAGATAGTTGGTCCATTTCAACAGCGCTCCCTCCATCACCAGCGCAAGCTCAGCGCCGCTCTGCCGCGCCGATCCAATTGCGGCCCTGCGCCGGCGAGCTCAGCCAATCATGGGGCGTGTGTCGGTCGGAACGGAGGGGTTGGGAGGTGGAGAGAGAGAGAAAGAGAGAGAGAGAGAACAGGAGGTGGACGAGAAGGAAGATAAGGGGGAGGAAGCGGAGGCGGGAGAAGCGCTAACGAATCGGACGAGAGGTAAAAGCCGGAAATCTCTCTCGGAGCCAATGACAAGACGCGGACCCTCGCACTGTCTTAAGGGCAATGTAGTTCTGAAACTTTTCTATCGGCTCCGAAGCTGGAAAATGCCCATCCGCTCCCCAGCACTTCCTCGACTCGTTTTTGAGTCCTCTCTGTTAGAAATGTGACTCGGCAGTCTGTATGGAGTTGAAGTATATTGGTTAGAGCCGAGTCTGTGCATGTTGGCTGATGTAAGTTCAATGGGTCTAAAATTGACTAAAAAAGGTTCAGGCGGTCATAGCTGGCGACAGCTGGCGGTTGTCAAATATTTCATATCCATTGTTTGGCTGGAAATCCATCGTCTTTGAACTCATACATGCAGGGAAAGAGCAATAGCACTTAGACTTATATACCGCTTCACAATGCTTTACAGTCCTTTCTAAGCGGTTTACAGAGTCAGCATTTTGCCCCTCCGATAATCTGGGTCCTCATTTTATCGACCCTGGAAGGATGGAAGGCTTGAGTTGGTCAGGATCAAACTCCTGGTAGTGAGCTAAATTAGTCTGCAATATTGCATTCTAACCACTGTACCATCATGAATCCCAATAAATCAATCAAAGGCACCCTTGGGTCCCACTGAGTTTTGTGAGATTTATTCTGCAATCATGGATAAATGTGGCTGTTTCATATCCTTGGACATGCACTTTAACCCCACCCCCCATGATATATTCCTTGAAGACTGAGCAACTGATTACTGAACTATTAGTTGCACAATAACATGACATTCGGAGAGTGAGTTATAGACCACTCGAGTTAGGACAGTGATGACGAACCTACGATATGTTTGTCAAAGGTGACACTTTGTTTTTGGGTGACATGCCAGCATCCACCAAAATCTGATGACTATTTTCTCTGTTTGAATGAGCACAAATTCAAGAAATATGAGATCCTGCACTACCCAAAGCTTAAAATGGATTCTTCCCATTCATATCAGCACATGATCTGTCATTTTCAGAATTGTGATCAGCTCCTTTCTTATGCACAATATGTTTCACAATATTTGGCTGCCTGTATCTGATGTTTATCTGGTGCCAAAGCAGCATATAACATTATAACTGAACAAGTTGTGCAATATATAACACAGGTTTTCCCTAAGTTCAGTATCATCTCCTTCAACATATATTATCATTTTATTTAATAAGTTTCCAACTGAAAAATTCAGACTTCTTTTAAAAGTTAGTGACAAATTATAACTATTTCTGGTCATATTTCTGGTATTTATTCTTAGCTCTTTTTAAAAATCCTAATCTATACATTTTACCTGCAAGACTTTTTGGCAAAAACTTATTTTTAACACTGTTAATGTTATGTACCATCTCCACAAGGGCACACGGCATGAGCTATATAAATTTGAATGTAAAAAGAGAGAAGCCAAAGTTACTGGATTTACAGAAGTTAAGCAAATGATGTTATTTCCCTTCCTTGCTACAATTGCACAACACAAAATAATGAAATAATGAATAAATTCACATTTTAGCAGTGCCCTGAATGAACCCAAACATGCTTATTTCTTCATTTATACTGTTTCCTAGTATGATTCGATTGCTTATTGTACCCTATGACTATTATTAAGTGTTGTACCTGATGATTCTTGACTCTTGATGAATGTATCTTTTCTTTTATATACATTGAAAGCATTTGCACCAAGACAAATTCCTTGTGTATCCAATCTTTATTGGCCAATAAAGAATTCTATTCTATTCTATTCTATTCTATTCTATTCTAATTCTAATTCTAATTCTAATTCTAATTCTAATTCTGTTCTATCGAATGAACTCAGAACATGGGTTCACTTAAATATGGATACGTGTGCCATGCAAGCATAGCCACTAAACAAAACTTATGTGATTATGGAATTATAACTACAAGATCACCCTTCCTTAAGCAATTGGGTGAGATATGAGAAGGAATATTAGAGCTAAAAAGTGATGCCAGGCAGGTTTGGATCACCTTGATGTATTATTATTCGCATTTTTACTTGTAATGGCAAAACGATTCATCCTCCTCGAACCACGCCTCCGTCCATGTTCAATGTTACAGCTTGGAAATTTACAACAGGAGAACTACGACTCCCAGCGTGCACAGGAGCAACCACAATGCATTGAAGCGTATCGAGAGAGAAGCCACTCTGCGCCTCCCCGGTGTTGCAAAGTCTTACGGGATGCGTAGTCTTCTGGTCAATGTTGCCTTGTGGCGGTAGTCTTCGTGTGGACTCCAGCATCCAGGATGCGCCTCGTAGCGTTTTCGAGGCAACAGGAGACTATTGCTTCCTCTCTCCCGGCCTTTGTGAGCCGGACTGGAGGGTGGAAGGAGTTGTGGTGGCGGCGGCGGCGGCGGTGGCGGCGGGGCAGGAGGAGGGAATGAGCGAGGAGGAGGCGGAGGAGCCTTGCGGGAGCGCGAGGAGCTGCGGCAGCTTCCCCAGGTGAGTAAAACACCGCCTCTCTGGGACCGTTGCTAAGAGACGAAGGGACAAGCCCCGCCCCTTGCACCCCCCTTTCCTCCAGGACCGCGTTCCGCGTGCCGTGGCGACCATCCAAAGGGCCCCAAGGCCCAATCTGCCATGGGTCACCGTGCTGCAGTATAAGGCATGTTTGGGCGAGATATCCTGGGCCTTGAATTATCTTCAGCATCCGTGCATGCTGGTTTAATTAATACCTCCCCAGCATGCTGCTGGCTAAGGACGATGAGAGCAGAAGTCCTACCTAGGCTTGACATGGCGCGGTTAAACTTTCTTATGGCTGCTGTCCCATCTTGGGGTCACGGCCGGGACGGTAGAGTTCTGTGTGACATTCCCGATCAGCAGAAGGAAAGCAAAAGTTGTGTGTGGAGGGGGTCAGGGAAGAATGGGACAGAGCTTTGAATTAAACAGAATCGGCACTTTTTAATACATGGGACAGATATTTAATTGATGCAATTCATAATGTATACTGTGGTTGTGTGTGCTGTTCCCATGCGGCTGGTCTGGGCTTAGAAGATAAGCAGGGATGGGCTTGGATGAAAGGCCACCAGGAAAGTTTATTTCCCTACTTAAGAAAAAAGTATATAGTTAAGTCCATGTTGTCACCAGAACTGAAGCTTAAACTTGAGGATATCTTCAACCTTACTGCCTTAAAAGCAGGAATAGGACTGAATTAAAATAGAATACTTTATTGGCCAGGTGCAATTAGACACACAAAGTATTTGGCTCCAGTGCATAAGCTCTTAGTGTACATGCAAAACAACAAAGTAATAATACTCAGAATAACAAAATAATACTCATAATAGTGATACCAATAAGAGAAGGTAGTGGAACAGATGAGAAGGATAAAAGTAATACAGCCATACTGCATGGGCTAATAGGTTTAGATAAATAGGTTTCTTGGATTGTTGTCCAGTTGGTTCCAAAACACTGGCATATGTGGTGTCATATAGATTTCTGTCCACTAGAAGTAAATGATAGCTCCATGTTTAATCAGAGCAGTCATAGGGGTGTAAATTTATGGTTTCTATTCTTCTTGGATTTGCTCTAGTCTATTCTCATTGGATTTTTCTGCAGATGAAGATGGATGGGAAAGTTCATTTTGTAGTAAATCTTTTAATGAAGAGGCGTTTAATCCTACTGTCATTGGGGAACTTACTACGGAAATTTAGTTGCATCGGTCAGTGGTAAAGATGGAGGCATTCTGGAATGGGGTTGAAAGAAAGTTGATCATTCCTTGTTATAGAACACTCTTCCTCAATCTGGTGCTCTCCATGTATATTGAGCTACACCTTTTTGACACCTCTATTAAAATGTGCTAGCTGGGGAGTCAAAATAATGTTCCCCAACATATCTGGAAGGTATCAGGCTGGGAAAAGTTGCTGTAACATATGAGATCACAGAAACATTGAAAACAGGCAAGAATAGCTCTAATATTCATCTCAATCTCCATGCTTCCCTCAGTATAGAGCAAATGCTGGCGTCCAATCCTGGCAAGACCCCGATCAGCCTGCTACAAGAGTATGGGACACGCATAGGCAAAACACCCGTCTATGACTTACTGAAAGCTGAAGGACAAGCACATCAGCCCAACTTCACCTTTCGTGTCACAGTTGGTGACATCAGCTGCACCGGTTAGTTGCGGTAAAGAATAAGTATACTGATGATCCAGTTTACCTTATTTTTCATTGGTCTTTGTGAGACTAGGCTGAAGCTGCCATACCTAAATATGAAAATAGGTACTTAATTAAGCAGAGTGGATAAAAGCAAGGAATTTTTATCTAAAAAATCCTTAGGGGAAATAATTAAGAAAGAACTCAGCCATTAAAGACATCTAGCAAAAAGGAAACCTTTTGTCTGAATGAAGTTGGGGCCTGAGCACATGGAAAATCCCTACCCAAGTCCTGCTAACAGCTACCAGACTAACAAAGCAAGATGTCAGTTGTCCAACTGGTCAACCCAAATCAAGGAAACACTCGGGAGCTTTAAATTCCCCAAAGTAAAACTTTATTGGATACACCATATTGGTACTGAAGAAACAAAACCAGCTCCGGTTTCCCCTGCGCAATTGCTTGCCTGGTTAAAGAATAACTTCCCCATTTCCCCACCCCTGGGTAATCACATTGTCCAATTATGAGATGTCCGCTTGTTATGGGAACGGTCCATCTCTTTCTCCAGCACCTGCAGTGGAGACTTTGATGGCTTCCATGCTCTCACAATCTCTGCATACATTCTCATCATTCCATTTCCCCCTTCCCCCCCCCCCCCCCCCGCCCCCCAGTTCATTGGCAAATTGAGGCGCATTAAACTTTGAAAAAGGCAAAGGGGTTCAGTTATGACACGAGGATTTTGGAGGATTAAAAAGGATCCTGAAGCCATTACTCTCTGAGTTGTCTCTGGATCCAGACTTCTGCCCCTCTGGCTAGTGGTGCCAGCCTAGTCGAGAAGGATGTAAGTAAGTGTGGATGATACGTGTGTGTGTGTGTGTGTGTGTGTGTGTGTGTGTGTGCGGGCATGTGAGATAGAGCAAATGTATATATTGTAAACCAGTAAAAATTTGCTGATTTTGCCTTAATTGTGTCCCAATTCACAATATCATTTAGACTTGGGAATAATTCTTAAAAAAATATCTACAGTAATAGGTTTCCCCAGGTCCTCCTTGTAAAAATACAAATGTCTCCTGGTAGTTACTGGTGGATTTTTGCAGTCCAGAACTGATTGCTCTACACCAGGGGTGTCCAACCTTGGCAACTTTAAGACTTTGCTGGCTGAGGAATTCTAGGAGTTGAAGTCCACAAGTCTTAAAGTTGCCAAGGTTGGACACCCCTGCTCTACACCATAGCCCGGTGGCTCTCCAACTTTGTAATCCTTTGATTCCCCCCTGAATTGTTCAATGAGTATGTGCGACTTCCCTCTGAATAAAACTAATGATTTAATCGATGTTAGGATAGGATAAGGAATAAATAGATTACTTGTAATAAAATGAGCATTTAATAAAATAATGTATCTGTATCTAAAATAATGTATCTGTCACAGCAGCGTTTAAACTTTGTTGTATTGCAATTGCACAGTCTGCTAAGCAAATGAGAAAGGAGGCCCAGAATGAGTTTTAATGCTCCTGCTTTGTATGCACAAGTCTATTCAGTTTTTTTTCTTTTAAGTATGACCTCTCCCAAGTTATTTGCAATTCCTTGGCGTGGGTGGGGATGTCTTGTGCCCCAGTTTGGGAATCCCTCCTATAACCTGTTTAACTCCCCCCCTACTGAAGCTAAGTAGGGCTGGGCCAAGCCCTCGGAAAATTTCAGAGATCCCCATGTATGCCCCCTTGATTTCTACCATGTGGCAGGAAATGATAAATATTTCACTCTTAGAAGTTCTCGTTCTGACTTTTGGCTTGGTATCGTTATCTCTTTCCTTCCTATTTTCAGGCCAAGGACCTAGCAAAAAAGCTGCCAAACATAAGGCGGCAGAAGTAGCACTCAGGCTCCTAAAGGGAGGAAACATGTTAGAGCCGACGCCGCTGGATGAAGCCAGGTGAGGAGGGACTTGCCTGCTTGGGATGGTTCTAGAGATCCCAGATGCTCTTTAAGAATTATCAGGGCATCCTCTATCTCTACTCCTGTTTATATTTTGTTCATCTCAAAAACTTAAATTTGTGTCCAGTTTTGATAAAGATGGATATTTTCTTACTATTGGTGATGATGGGCAGATAAGTAAGCCACTGGAATACTAATATTTGGGGTATATTTGAGCAAGCTACCAAAGACCAAAAGGACTGCAGAGCTTTAAAAGGCTTAAATGATATCTGTGTTCTCCATGTTCCACAGATAAGCAAGCCTCTAGATTGGTTGTTTTGCCACAGTATTACAATTCTGCTGCCAATGTTATATTTCCCCCAGTATTCTGCGTGTATTCATTATTGAAAGAGAACTAATTCTATTCTGACAAATTTGTAACCAAGTGCTGGAATTAGGCAAGGCTGCAATATATTTGTTGCACTGTTGAAAACACAAAACATTCTTTTAAAACAGTTGTTTTAAATCTGCACTCTGAACCTTTTCCAAGTATGTGTCTTCACTTTGCATCACAATACTTGGCTTTTACCAAAGTGTGAAATATCATTGATCAAGCTCTACTGCAAGTGACATTGACCTTCTCTTGAGATTTCATTTTTTCATTATGCTTTACTGTGTGCTTCTGAATGAATACTGAGTTTATTCAGCATATGAGATTTTCGCGCTATTTTTTACACCACCAATCAGCTGAATTAACTACTGAACTAATTCAGTTTCTGGGTTCACGCAATACACTGAACCATAAATGAACAAAATAGCTAGGTTCGCACAACACATTGAATCCAAACACCAGATAGAAACCTTTGCCTCAGCAGGTTGTATAAATCCATTATGGGATTAGAGTAGTTTAACGGGCAGACATTAAGCAATAAAAGGAAGCTGGGGTAGAGGAAATATTCTGGAAGGACAAAAGTAATAAAGCAGATTCTGCAATTCAAGTTTGGCAGTCTCTGACTTCATTTCAAAAGTGTTTCCTGCTGTATGGATTCCTGCTACTGAACATGCTTTAATATTTTCACCTTCTATTTTCAAGCTCTCTTTCTCTAGAGCCCTTGGCTCTGACCACTGCTCCCGTGGCTGTGCCTGTACCCATCCCACCAGCAGCCTCTCCAAGGTAATGGGGATAATTACTGAAGTGAAAACAAAGGCTGAGCTGCCAACATCTTTATAAACAATTCCTGTTTCCCTAAAGCCTGTTACTGCTCTACTAGAACAAGCTGGATTATTTGAGTCTACGTTCCTGGTGCTTGTTATTGCAGTTTTGCCCTTGTTGCTGTTCATAGATTCCCAACAGTCTTCCCCATTGTGTTCTTTAGGTGGTTTGGATTTCAGCTTCTAGAATTCTAAGCCAGCATGGGTTTTCTGGAACAGAGGTCCAGCTCGTTGGGAAGTCACTAGCTCGGGAAGGATTGGACAGAGATAGAGGATGCAGCTATATGGGATGCACCCTATTTCGTTACTACTCAATACTCTGAAATTAGGTATCCAGGTCTGATTTGCTGTTGGAAAGACCAGCAAGTGGTTCTTACCAGATTCACCTTATGTAAAACACACCTGTTTATCTTGAATGAATTTCCCCCTCCAACCTAGGCTTATTATGCTTTTCTTTGCAGTCAAATATAGATTCCAGGCAAAGCTTTTCTTTCTAAAGGGCCTTCAGGCAGGTTCCTGGGGACAAAAAAAATACTGTGCCTTTAATTAGCAGTGGGCGAATGTGCATGGGGTACCCGAGTTAGCAACACTTTGGGGGAGAATGTTTTTTTATTTTGTGTCATCTTTTACTCAGAAGTTCTCCGCTGGACATAAAACCTACAGTATCCCCACAGCAATCTGAGTGCAATCCAGTTGGGGCCTTACAGGTAAGCAGTTTTCTTGGCTGTGATATATGGTACTTTCTGCTCACAGCCTTGATCACCGTCCCTCAATTTGAGTGCTGTCCCAATGCAGTGAATACAATTTCCATAATACGTATTGAGTAAACACCAGGAAAGGGAAGGGAAAACTCACGGGGATGCAGGTTCTAGTATACAGGTAGTCCTCGACTTACAATAGTTTGCTTAGTGACCGTTTGAAGTTACAACAGCACTGAAAAAAGTGACTTATGGCCGTTTTTCAGACTTACGACTGTTGGAGCATCCCCCTTGTCATGTGATTTACATTCAGATACTTGACAGCTGACTCACATTTATGACGGTTGCAGTGTCCCGGGGACCATTTTTTGCCACGTTCTGACAAGCTAAAAGTGGGGGAAGCCAGGTTCACTTCACAACCAGGTTGCTCGTTGAACAACTGCTGGGATTCCCTTAGCAACTGTGGCAAGGCAAGTCGTAAAACGGGGCAAAACTCGCTTAACCAATTTTTCACTTAGCAACAGAAATTTTGGGCTCAATTGTGGTCGTAAGTCAAGGACTACCTGTACTTTCCTCTTTCACCGTCAGGCTTTGTAATAGAAACCACTGATCTGTGTTGCTGGCATGCAAGCTACATGTCTGACATTGTTTGTCATTAGTACCCTATTCTGTGAACCAGACACTTGGGGACCTCTCCTTCCTTTCAATGCTGACACCTGACCTAATTTCAGTGCTCTCAAGACCCCAATTTTTGAAAATGAGACATTAGCCAACATTTAGAGGGCAGGAATGGGGAATCAACCACGTAGTTACATCCATCTGATCCTCTCCAGTACCTCTCCAAGACTCTCAGATGGTGGAGCAATTTTGGAAGAAGGTCCAAGAAATATTTTAGGAAAACAACCTGTCAGTATGTATGGGTCTTTTTGGATCATGCTTTTTAGTCAGAACCAACATGGGGCTTGCTGCAGCTCTGGAATAAAGCCAGTCACATACGATGAAATCAGTCACCTACTTACAAAAGGTCAATGCTTAATTAAATCAGTTTTCTCAGTCCTCATATTGTAAGTAAAATCCATTTACTATGGACATAGCTTTCCAAGTGGTCTTGATCCAACTTATAGCAATAGCATTTTGGCTTATATACCACTTCACAGTGCTTTGCAACGGTTTATAGAGTCAGCCTAGTGACCCAACAATCTGGGTCCTCATTTTACCCACCTCAGAAGGATGGAAGGCTGAGCCAACCTTGAGCCTGGTGAGATTCGAACTGCCAAATTGCAGGCAGCCTGCAGGACTGCATTCTCATCCCTGCGCCACCACGGCTCATGGTGGGAGCCATATTTGACCATAGCAAACATTACTTAATTCTGGCTTGAATCTTCTCCCAATTATCAGCCAAATGTGTGTTAACTTAATGGAACCATCAATTGGGATTGTAATAATTGATAGTTGCATTATACTATATACTCGATATACTAACATTTCTAAATACAGTAAGTTGTTTCTTTATAAAATAACCAAGATAACAAAAGGGGCCAGACCTGCCACTCCCATTAAGAATCCAGAAAGGATTGTTTTTCTTTTTTGCCTCTTTCCCCAGGAACTGGTGGTGCAGAAGGGCTGGCGACTTCCGGAATACACCGTCACTCAGGAATCTGGGCCAGCGCACCGCAAGGAATTCACCATGACTTGTCGTGTTGAAAGGTTTATTGAAATAGGTATACTATCATAAGATACTCATCATATAAAAGGGGTATAGTATCCTCCCTTCAGTGTGACTGCTAGGTCCCATGTCAAGCTCTAGATCAAATCATGACCAGCTGTAAGCTGAGGGCATATACTGGTCCTCTATCTTTCTATCTTTCTCTCTCTCTCTCTCTCTCTTTCTTTCTTTCTTTCTTTCTACCAACCAACCTACCTACCTACCTACCTACCTATCTAATCTCTCTCTCTGTCTCTTTCTTTCTATATCCATCCATCCCTCTATCTGTTATGTATGTATATGTGTGTGTGTGTGTGTGTGTATGTGTGTGTGTTTTCTTAAGTTTTCGTGGGTACTTACATGTATGGCATTCAGCTTTGTTTGGGTATTTTCCCATGTCATTGTAGTTGTGCTTTTAAAGTTGTAGCAACGTTTCAGCAGAATCTCATCTGCCATCATCAGGCTTCTGTACTGTGTTCGTCAGACGAACACCATACAGAACAGACAGACACAGTACAGAAGCCTGATGATGGCAGATGAGATTCTGCCGAAACGTTGCTACAACTTTAAAAGCACAACTACAATGACGTGGGAAAATACCCGAACAAAGCTGAATACCATACATACATGTATATATATCAGCATTGTAGTTGTCTTCTGAGGGCTGGCCAGAGGGAGGGGGAGGGGAAGAAGTGCCCAGGGTGTAAGGGATGGATGCCTTCTGCAGCACTCTGCCAGCCAAAAGGGCTGCAGGGGGCCTGCGTACGCCCCCACACACACCCCATTTTTGACCTGGATGGCCTGCTGCAGCACTCTGCCAGCCAAAATGGGGCATCCCCCTGCACCCTGTTTTTGCTAGTAGAGGTACCATGGGCTGGGCCTTTTGCTATTTCCAGACTGGCCCTGTAGACCAGATTTAAGCACCCTTTGGGTCAGATCCGGTCCGCAGGCCTTGAGTTTGACATCCCTGGCCTAGACTGAATATAGAACCTACTAACATTCATGTTTTACTGTGTTTTTTTAAATCTAGGTGAAAATATATATTACAAGCCCATGTATGATATGTCGTACGCTAAAGAACTATCCTAAGATGTTAGCAAAGAATCTAAATCCACCTATGATTAACCCGTTTAGTTTCTTAATTCCTTTTTATTGGGTGGATCTCGACTTGTTTCTTCTGCAATCCCACTGGGATTTTTAAAAGAGTGGGAAGCTTCCCAATAACAGGCTTAATAAAAGGAGGAATGGTGCCGTTATAAAACAAGATGGCAATGCACAAAGGCATCCTTCACTCACGTACACCGAACTAAAGATATGGGAATGTACAGGAAAAGATTTTCCAGGGAGCTCCCTGAAAGGTCCTAAAAAACCAAGTCTTTAAAACCTATGGTTGTATATTCAGATATACAACCTATGGCTGTATATTATTTGAAACCTATGGCTGTTATATTGGCTGTATACAACCTATGGCTGTATAGTTTAGGATCAATATATCAGTCCCGTTGTCAAATTGCCATTCCAACTTTTCTTTTCCCTCCAGGGAGTGGCACTTCCAAAAAACTAGCCAAACGCAACGCTGCAGCAAAAATGCTGGTTCGGATCCACAGTGTTCCTCTGGACCCACGGGAGGGGAGCGAGGCTGAAATGGAAGAGGACCAGTTTTCTATTGTGAGTCTTGAAATGACAAGCTGCTGATATTTAGATGAAGGGCTGGTAACGCTACTGGGTTCTCTAGAAATTCAGTAAAGAACAAAGACAGAAAACCAAGGATAATTGTGTTAAGAGCAGAAGGAAGACAATTAACTCCTGTATGCTGTAATTTGTGAAAGAAACAGAACCTCCATGAACACCTTTTCCTACTTAGATTGCAGGGACCAAACTGGACGGGATGAAAAGTCGGGGATCCGGTTGTACCTGGGATTCCCTGCGCAACTCAGTGGGAGAGAAGATTCTTCATCTGAAAAGCCACCGAGTTTTCAATTCTGGGTTCTGCAACCTCTTGAAGGAACTCTCCGAAGAGCAGAGTTTTGATATCAGCTACCTTGATATTGGTAAGGAATGAGGCAGAGATTAGAGTTAATAAAGGTTGTGTAAATTTTCTCCTCCCTCTTGTGCACTACAGGCAGTCCTCATTTAGTGACTGCTTCATTTAGTGATCAGTTTTACAATGCTGATTTTAAAAAAGTACCTTTGCAACCAATCTTTGCATTTAGAACCTTTGCAGAGCTGTAAAATAAAGGGAAGCTGAAGTAAGATCATAAGCACAGGAGCGGTTTCATTTACCATCTGCTTTGCTTAATGACCGAGTTGCTGGTTCCAACTGTAGACACTCAGTAAGGATGACCGTCTTTATTTGTCCATTTACAAATGCAACTTTGTGTTTCCCACTTGCACATTGAGCAACTGGATGGCTGAAAGCAAATGGGACCAGGCATGCTTAGAATTATCCTTTAAGGTCAGAGAGAACTTGGGTGAGCTTGGATCTACATGGGTTACATCAATAATATTGGCTTCATGAAAGAGAAATATTGACTTGGAACACAAACCAGACAAGGTCAGGAATTTGGTACTGCAATGTTGGTCTGCTTTAATTTTAGGTATATGTTTATCAGATGTAAAAGAGGAAAATATTGAAGTGATCACCAAGTCAGGCAGATTTTTGTTTATCTGTTTTGCTATCTTTTAAGGAATGACAGCATTATACTCTGGTACAGTGAGCTTAAGCAGGCTATCCTGCCTGCTTCTTAAAAGGGCAATGGTCATTATACAATGCAGACTTTAGCTCTGCAAGGATCATTTATTTGCTCTTGAGCAGAATGAAATCTTAAAATATCCATTCTAATTCAATAAACAAAATTATATTACATTGTACTTAATGTATCATCTCTAAAAGTAGTTTCAAAACAAGAATGGAAATATGTACTTCAGCGCTACAGAAACACAGCTGACAAACCTATTCTGCCTATTAAAATAGGGTTTCCCCCAAAACATCTAAGATTAGAAGGGGTACTAGAGATGGAAAAGAAGAATCACATTTTGCTGTATTGCACACATCCTGGTGTTTCATTTGAGAATAGGTTTGCCTTCCCCAGATTTCTGGATGAGAATTACAAGGCTGAGTATCTTGCAGCATGTCCATAGTAGTTAAGCCACCTAGAATTTGCAATTTATCCCTATCTAGAAGTCAACTTGTTCCCCATCCTTCCCTTAGGCTGCTTGGTGACTACACAACTGTAGTAAAATATTAACACTATTGTGTTAATACTACCGTGCTACAGTAACTCACCAAGTTTCTTAGTGAAGTTCTCAAAAGCAGGATCAAATAGTTGCCATTTGATAGGCTGAGATAAATTGCCATTGACCATACTAGATGAACCAATAAGTTCTTTTACTATCACAGCCATAAGAAAATTTTCTGTCCTCCTGTTACCTTATGTTTTAATTGCCAGAAGATTTGTGATGTTATTTGTTGCTTTGCTTTTGCTTTTGCTTGAATAATCAGTATACAGGTAGTCCTTGACCTTCGACTACAGTTGAGCCCAAAATTTCTTTTGCTAAACAATCAGTTGTTAATGAGTTTTGCCCCATTTTACTTTTCTTGCCATAGTTAAGTGAATCACTGCAGTTAGGTTAGTAATAGTTAAGTGAATCTGGTTTCCCCATTGACTTTGCTTGTCAGAGGGTCGCAAAAGGTGAACACATCATCCCAAGACATTGCAACTGTCATAAATATGAGCCAATTGCCAACTGTCTGAATTTTGATCATGTGATCATAGGGATGTCGCAACTGTTGTGTGAAAAATGATCATGTTATTTTTCCCAGTGCCGTTGTAACTTCTAACAGTCACTAAATGAATGATTGTAAATCGAGGACTACCTGGGAGATCAGTTGCAGCAGGTTGCTGTTTTCCTGGTTTAAGTAACTGAATGGGGTTTTTTCCCCCCTCACAGATGAGACGAGCATAAGTGGCCTCTACCAGTGCTTGGTGGAGCTTTCTACGCAGCCAGCCACAGTATGCCATGGTTCAGCCAGTTCCCGCACTGCTGCCCGCGCTGATGCTGCCCGCAATGCCCTTCAGTACCTCAAAATCATGGCTGGAGGCAAGTGAGATGCAGGCGCCTGGCAATGCTGCAGATCCGTTGAGGAGGCCATTTTGTTTTCCTCTCATGAATTGACGTGACAGGGAAGTGATTGGATGGGGCTGCAAGAAAGGAGGAGGGTTGGAAGAAGTTGGCTGAACTGGAAGACTTTGAAAAAGTTGGCCGAAGTTGCAGCAGTGATGGGGTTTACGGAGCCATTTCCTGAGGGGCAAGGACAGCCCATCTGGAGGCTATCCTGCCTCTTTGGCTCACTCGGGGTCACTCGTTCTCTGGGATATAAGCACCGACTGGTTTCTCTCATGTTTGGGAGTTGCAATAAAAAAATGGATTTTTTTTCAATAAGAAGTTGTCCTGTTTTATCCCCAGGAATTAGGCATTCACATACAAGAGAACTGTACCTCCCTCACCATATACCATAAGCCAGAAATCTTCAGACTGCTTGAGCTAGTTGTGATCTCTGCTAGTTTAGATACACTTGAGGCAGTGGTGGGATTCAAAAATGTTTAGGACTGGTTGTGGGTGTGGCTTGGTGGGCGTGGCAGGGGAAGGATACTGCAAAATCTCCATTCCCTCCCCACTCCACTAACCTGCTTTCCAGCTCTGTTCTCCTGGGCAGGGCAACCAAAGAAGACCCAGCCAGTCAGCTGGGACTAGGGAGGCAGAGAATAGATGGGAGCATGGCCAGTCAGAGGTGGTATTTGCCCTTTCTCCAAACTACTCAAAATTTCCACTATCAGTTCTCCAGAACTTGTCAGAACTTGCTGAATACCACCTCTGACTTGAGGGTGAAAAGTTAGCATCCCCTTGCCCACATGCTTATTTTCTATCAGAAGGGAGGGGCTGAGGCTGCAAATCCCACAACTTCCCAAACTCCAGGTGATTGGAGTCCAGCAACTCTTGGAAAGCCAATTTGCACTACCCAGGTATGGAAAGAAATGTTGAATTGTCCCTCAAGCCTGTCTCTCATGTCCAGAAAGCATTTTTTTTTTAAAAAAACAGAGTTTCAAACAATTTCGCCTTTTACTTAATTTCTCTAGATTGTCTTCTGTCTCCTCAAACCAATACTCATTTTTGTAGAAATGATTTCCTCCTATGATATATTGTGCATGTACCTGCAGCAGTCCCAACCCAAGGAAAGAATTTGAACAGGTAACTGGTCCTGAAAACAAGCGTGCTTTTCTAGCTCAGCTAGAGTCAGACTGATGCTTACAGGTGATGTTGGGCTACATATCCCTTCTTCTAGGAGCTGTATTATTCAGCTACTTTGGCCATATGTGGTATAGGATAGGCCAATATTAGTCTTTCAGTGTAATTAATTCTATGCATTGTGCAAAATCCATTTTTGGGAGAACCTGCATTTTACAATCTGCATTTTAAAGACTCACTCCCAGACAGGCGTTGCCAATAATCCACCACCACTGTGACCAACAGACAATTTTTAAAAAACATTTTACAGAGGAGCAAGTCTTTGCATGAAAGGAGACTTCACTGACCATAGATGTAGTCACCTATGAAGGCATGGGTAATTTTCATTGTAATTCTTTTTCCAAATGTGCCATTCATTTCCCCCCTTAGAACTGAATACCATTCCCTAACAGAAAGCACTATACCTCCCCTCCTCCTCCCTGTTCAATGATCCTGAAGACCAAGTCTAATGAGGGTTGTAGGTGAACAGGTTAATTGCAGAGAGGGTTACCTGGTCATCTACATGACAAAAAGACTGCAGTATCTTCCAAGATGTAACAATGTTGTTTTATTATTGTTGACAACAAATAGTATACAGGTCCTTAACAGGGAAGGGCCACCCAGCTAAGGCTGAGTGACAAGACATAAAAATAAAGAAGCAGAAAATTAAGGTGTGGCTCTCATCCAGTTTGCCAGGATCCAGGAAGCAATTACTTTTGGTATTTATTTTTTCCGGATTGCTACTTCCAGCTTCATTTTTTCTTGCCGAAGCGTTGTGGGGCAGCCATACTCAAAAACTGAGGGGCCAGAGAATCCCAAGCCCGTGCTTTGATCCGGCCAGCGCTTCTCAAACTGCTGGTCCTGACTTCACGGCCAAACCTATAGAAACGATCAGAAGCGGAGAGCAACATAGAGAATGCAATGCCTGAAGGGACAAATTGGGCCCACTTTGGGGAAATCAAAGTCATATTCCCTCTGATAGATCATCCTATCTCCAGCCATAGCTGGTCAAATGACTCCAGAAAGCTCAGAAGCAAAGAATTATGGGTACCGTTTGCCTCCAGGACTTGACTCTGAAATGAATTGGATTGTGGGTCAGGAAGTAATTAATTCTTTTTAAAGGACAGAAAGGTGAAACGATGAAAGGCATCCTTTGTTGAGGTTATACATGAATAGGGATGCCAACAAATGGATCATTTATTCATTCAGTTCTCAATGCACTTCATAGTACTGTTTTGCATTGGACAGGCAGCAATCATTTGCACCAGTAAGCCAGGAATTGTATGTAGCAACAGCACAGAGAAGCATAAAGAACTCCGTTCTGATTTCCCCATGTTTTTCCCTGCAAAAGCCTGGAGGAAGAATGAACCAAAATTCAGTTTCATTTTGTCCAATTTTTAGCTTTCTGTTAGTTTCAAACCAGGGTGTAACATAAACCTTATTAAATTGCTGAATAAACACAACAGAAAGTCAATCAGTTTATTTCAAACACAATTCCTGGTTTGTACAGAGATGTAAGCTGGGAATTCAGTAAAGTAAAACAACCTTGGTTAATTTTTCTCCTACAGCTGGAACCAGTACTTGACCTTAATTCATCTAGCAGACACAACATAAAAAAGAACAAAACAAAACAAAAAACCCCACAGATTGGAAAGCTCTATTTGGATAGCAATTTACACATTATATCTTGTTCTCCTTTAATTGCCTCTAAATTGTGAAGCTGTTGCCTAATATTTACAATATATGATGCCACGAGAGGTTAGTGAAATCTCTGCAAATCTCTGCGCACCATTTGGATGAAAAGCGTAAGTAGCATCAGCAGAAGAGTAACTGGATGTTTTAATGTAACCACTAAAAAAATATTTTTCAAATCAAATCCAGAAAACAGACTAAAATGAAACTTCGAAATTGCATAGAAACATGAAGTTAACATATTTGCTTCTATTTCACCTGAAAATGCATATAGTTTTGCTTAATAAACCTGTAATCAATCATACCTCTGTGGCTGGAATAAGAAGGAAGGGCTGCGACCAGGTCTCTGCGCAGCATGTAACAATGTACGGAGAAGGACATCCAGCAGATTTTCATCAGGTAAGCTCTGACCAGTGTGGGCCTCACCCTCTTGTGGCTGTAGGAAGAAAGCCTGGAGTTCATCAGAACATGCAATTGGACAGGAGGAGATTTTGCCCCAAGTTTAAGGGGTACAACAAGTTGGATGAAAACCCAAGACAACAACAGCTCACCCTTATTATGCAGGAACAGTATGTAGGTGTTGCATACTGACTGTAGCTTCAGCTTGAAGACCTAGGTATTGGAGAAGATCTGTCCTGCACCATAACAAAATAAAGGCAGCTACTTCCCTTTGCTTTTACTCTAGCGGCTGGATCCACACAATATGCCTAGCCAGGTTAGTTAAAGATCAAAGGGTTGCATTCACTTGACATGTTAAGCTTGGTTAGTTTTAATCCTGTGTTGTTTTTAGATGGGAAGTTTAATGTGTTGGGAAACCTAGATAATGTGTTAGTGTATGTACTGTGCAAACCCTCAACATGCATTAAGTGTGTTATGCGAACCCAGCCAATATACCTTGCCTTTATATTTTGATCAGCCTTCTACAACTTGGCATCTTTCAGCTGTATATGTTTACAGCTCCCATTCTCCCCAGACAGGTTAGCAATGGTACGTTTTGAACTGGAGAGCATCAGCCTGGGCAAGGCTGCTTCAGATGTAAATCTTAAAAGTACACTCTGGTTTAATTTTTGCCCGATACCTAGAACAAGAGAAAGAGTACTCTGAGTTGGATCCTGGCTATATATATATATATATATTTATATTTTATTGCTCAGTTTGTGTGTTTCTTAAAATGCACAGCTAATCTGTAGCTCTTCTATTTCAGCCCCCAATATGCTGTGAGTCTTTATAAGCCGCTTATCAATCTTGAATTTGCAAGGACACTTTGGGTAAACTGATGTCTCCATATGAGAATATGACAGGCTATGTCAATCTGGAAATTCTCTTGCTGCAAATGTGCCCTTAGAGACACCAGGAAGTAAAGAAGCCTCTTCATTCAAGTCAGCCGAAGGCGCCTATTTATCAGCAAGACAGTTTTAAGATTCCTAAAGGGAACTTTTCCTGCATGTTCTTTTCCCAGCAGCAGCCATATAACAAAAAGAACAGAATTCCTCTAAAAAGACATCCTGAAGATCATATTTATCAACTGCATATCTTGTGAAAAAAATTATGTAGGAAGCTATTTCCACAAGGTATAAATACAATATACTATTTATTGAGCGGTCACTCATTAGAGCACATGCCCACAATACATACAAACATGGATATACTTGTTACTAGCATAAGGACGACAAACAGCAACATAGTTTCTCCAACTTGAACCTCCTTACACCTTTTGTTGCTGAAATTATGCTTAGAAAACAATCTGAAATTCTCAGGTTGCAGCATTCTAAGTTGTATACACAGCAAGAGCGATAGTCACAAAAGAAATGTGTCCTAATCCACAAATAATTCCACAGAGTTTGCAGACATTATACTCCTTTGACAGAGCTCTATAGAATTACTGGAGATCTTTATTAGCGCCAAAATCAATTACTACTTTCTTAAGACCACCTATTGTCCATAGCTGATAGCAGATAAGAGGAAAAAATAATAGAAGAAACTAGAAGAAATCTGGCTTAGCTACGGAGCTTGGTGGATCACAAGGATGCTTCGTCCTTCTTGGGGAGTTCCCGAAATATCAGAAAAATGGTTGGGACTGGGAAATATAGATGATCAAAGGACATTAGCTATAAACCCGTCACAGTTGGGCTTGTTTTTTCTCGCCTGGTCGAGCTTCAGTAAACCTTCTCACCTCCAAATGGGCAAGCTGATGCCAGGATCCCCAGCTTTGTCTCTGTTGGTAGGAAAAGTGCAACTGTCCCATTTGGATGGGTGTAATGTAGGTCGGGGCAGCCTGGCTGTAGTGATGGGTAGTGGGAGTTGGCATATCTATAGCAAAGCCTTCCTCTGGTCAAGTTCAGTCTAGTCTCTCTCTCTCTCCTTCACCCACTTTACAAGGTTGTGTTAAAGATGAAATCTGGTGGGAGCAGGAAGGCAACTATGCACCTGGTCTTAGCGAAATAGCAATACGGAGATTCTCAGTCATTCAGGTCAGAGATAGCTCTGAAGAAGCTTCTCGGATGACAAACCTCTTCAAAAAAACCGCCCCAGAAAGTCCCTTGCCTCTTGAAAAAGCAACAACCATGACCTGGATGACCTAGAATCTCCACAGACACCCGGCCTAAAGTTAACAGATAACAAATAATCAGAGTTGGAAGGAACCTTGTAGGTCATCCAGTCCAACCCCCTGCCCAAGCAGGAGACCCTACAAGGCAGCTTTGCCACAACTGACGCCCCAGCCACACCTGCGGCTGAAACATTCCCTCGAGGAAAGCGCGGGAAACAGATGGAAAGCCGAAACAGTCCCCCGCGTCCCGCTCGTCTGTTTCCTCGGGGGGCAACTTACCATCCAGTCTAAAAACCTCTCCGGGTAGCCATTGGGTTCTTCGGCCAAGAGTTCTTGGGAGCCGAGCGCCTCCTCGAGACTCCGGACCGACCTCAGGCTGCCCGAGAGAAGCAAGGCCAGCGCTAGGAAAAGGCGGGAAGCGTCCATGGTGGAGGCTCCCGCTCCACTCTCTCTCTCTCTCTCTTTCTCGCCTCTCTGCTCCCCACCCGTCCTGCTTCCCTTTCTCCTGGCAGCGCCTTTATATCTCCTGCCATCCCAGACGCGGGGCGGGATTGATGACACGGGTGGCGGCAACGGTTTGCAAGGCAGCAGCCCATGCGGTGCGGGCCCTGCGGCAGCTCCCCGTGACGAGCGGAGTGGGACCGCGACGGTCCCTGACAAGAGGCGAGCGCCGTTGCCGTCTGGGGCCGCTTGCGCGTTTATTGCGAGGATAAATCCAGCAGAACGGCTCTTTTCGGCCCTGGTGGGACGCGTGGGCTAATTGCTTGTTTACCACGATGTGTGTGGTTTGCGCCGGGGAAATCGAGGCCGGCGATTTGGACGCTGACCCCCCCTCCCCTGTCCTCCCAGTCGTCTCCTGCAGACGGCTTGGATTGATGGGTCTACTAGAGCCCCAGATAGGCTTGCGTGGGACGGGGCATTTGTCAGGCTTTTTCGCCAGCCGCTTTTCAACAAGGCCCGCTTTCCCTGAGGCATTCACGTCGGCAAAGCGCGTTTATAATGAAACCCATTTATAACACGCGGCCCGGGGATCGGACAGGGAAGGGGGTGTGCGTGTATGTGTGTATGCCGGGCTGAAGGAATACACGCCCAGCCACCTTAACAACTGTCTCACTTAGCAACAGAAATTTTGGGCTTAATCGCAAGGACTACCCGTAAACGAGGGAGTGTTAAAGTAAGGTGGCAACTGCAATTCAAGGACCTTGGAGTGCTCATCTCTAATGATCTAAGTGCTAGAGCCCCAAAGGCATTAAGCCAAAAAGGCATTAAGAGTTGTTAACCTAATCTTAACCTAGCTTTTTCTCCGGTAGCATCACACTACTAACTAGGGCATAAAAAACATTTGCCAGACCAATACTTGAATACAGCTCATCAGTTTGGAACCCGCATTACATATCTGATATTAACACAGTTGAGAAAGTCCAGAAATATTTCACAAGAAGAGATCTCCACTCCTCTACTTGTTGCAGAATACTTTGTGCCACCAGACTCAAAATTCTAGACCTAGAAAACCTAGAACTACGGCGTCTTCGGTCCGATCTAAGTATAAGATATAAAATCATACATTGCAATGTCCTACCTGTCAATGAATACTTCAGCTTCAACCGTAACAACACAAGAGCAAACAATAGATACAACCTCAAAGTAAACTGCACCAAACTTGATTGCAGGAAATATGACTTCAGCAACAGAGTGGTCAATGTCTGGAACTCTACCTGACTGTTTTCTTCCCCAAACCCCAGAAACTTTAACCTTAGACTGTCTGCTATTGACCTCACCCCTTTCCTAAGAGGTCTGTAGGGGCGTACATAAACGCACCAACGTGCCTACAGTCCCTGTCCTATTGTTTCTTTTTATTATCCATTTCATGTATTCATAACTGTGTTTATACTTATATTTATTATCTTGTAAGCAATTGACAAATCAAATCAAATAAATCAAATAAAAGGTGTGGGATAGGGAAGCGTCCCTGCTCTATGGGAAAGGAAAAACCTCTGGCATTTACAGGTAGTCCTCGATTTACAACACATCGCTTAGTGATGATCTGCAAAGTTCAAACGGCACTGAAAAAAGTGACTTGTGAGCACTTTTCACATGACTGTGGCAGTATCCCCTCAATCACATGATTTACATTCAGAGGCTCTGCCAACTGACTCACATCTATGACGGTTGCAGCATCCCTGAGACATGGGAACCCCTTTTGCGACCTTCTGACAAGCAAAGTCAATGGGGAAACGAGGTTCACTTAACAACCGTGTCACTAATGTCCGCAATTGCAGTGATTCACTTAACAACCAGGGCAAGAAAGGTCATAAAATGGGTCATAAAAACTCAACAAATTTCTCACTTAGCAACATACATTTTGGGGTCAATTGAGGTCATAAGTTGAGGACTACCTGTATTCTCCCTGGTGCAGTATAAAGGCCCAATACTTTTAAAAAAAACTTCCTTATTTTTACAGAAGCTAACTGCCCTAGTTAATTAGTAGGGCTTGGGCAGAAATCAAGCTAGCGGACCATGGAAATAACTTCATGGGATAGTTTTCTTCCCATCATATAGCTGTTAGAATATAAGTAATCCTTGACTTACAGCAGTTTCATTTAGCGACCGTTCAAACTTATAATGGCATCGAAAAAAGTGACATGCCTGTTTTTCACATAACCGTTGCAGCGTCTCCAGGGCCATGTAAACAAAATTCCGCTTGGCAACAGACTCATATTTATGACAGTTGCAGTGTCCCAGGGTCATGTGATTACTTTTAGTGACGTTCTGACAAGCAAAGTAAATGGGGAAACCTGATTCACTTAACAATGGTGTTACTAACTTCACTACTGCAGTGATTCACTTAACAAGCGTAGCCAAAAAAGTAAAATGAGGCAAAATTCACTTAACGACTGTCTCACTTATCAACAGAAATGTTGGGCTTAATTGTGGTCGTACGTCAAGAACGACCTGTAATCGGGTGTGCGTTAAAGAAAGGTGGCAACCACAATGCAAGGGGTGGGCAAGCAGGAGGAAGAGAAAAAAACAACAACAAGCAAATAATCCACTCCCTCAATTTAAGTCATTTGTAAATTAAAGCCACTTTGTTTAAAGCACCAGGCTAGAAAGCGGGAGACCATGAGTTCAAGTTTTACCTTAACCATAAAAGCCAGTAATTTGGGGAAAAATAGGAAGAAGATATGCTGGATATGTTTGCCCGCTTGAGTATTTGTAAAAATAATAAAGGTGGAATATATGAGGGCGATCCACAAAATAGATTACGTTTTGCGATAAAAAAAAAAAACAAAGTGTAGGAATTTTTTTTTATTATATACACTTGAAAGTGACACTTAAATACTACTTTTCAACATATTCACCAAACAAATTGAGGCACTTATCATAGCGGTGAACAAGCTTTGTAATTCCATTTTCATAAAATTCAGCTGCCTGAGATTTGAGCCAGTCAGTCATGCCCGCCCGCAGTTCCGTGTCGTCAAAGCGCTGTGTTCTAAGCCAGGTCTTCATCCTCGGAAATCGACTTTCGTGATCAGTTCATCAGTCACAATGCTCGGACGTCCACTCCGCTGTTCATTATGAACGTTAGTTCATCCATTTTTAAACTTAATGCACCATCGGCGCACTCCACCTTCAGTGATGATGTTGTCCCTGTACACTTCACACAGTTGCCAAAAAATTTCAATCGGTTTATGGTTTTTTGCCAACAAAAACCTTATCACTGATCGCACCTCACAACTTGCGGGATTTTCAATTGCAGCACACATTTCAAACATTTGCTGTGAAATAACGGGCAACGATGCGAACCTCCCACTAGCACGACTAGATGCAGACTGAGCGGCGGACACACAGACCAAAGATGGCCACGCCCCTTCTTGCTACAGGCGAAAATGTAATCTATTTTATGGATAGCCATCGTAAATAAAAATTAAGAAGGGAACCAGTTTGGTGGTGAAGGTACCAAGCTAGAAATCTGGAGATGGTGACTTCCACTCCTGCATAGGCATAAGCCTAGCTGGGTGTCTTTGGGCCAGTCAATCTCTCTCAGGCTCAGCCCCAGGAAGGAGGCAAGGGCAAACTTCTTCCAAGAAAACTGCAGGACGAACACAAGCATTTGCCAGTGGTCAAAACACTGACTCAAAAACATACACATACAAACTAATAAGCAAGAGAAAAAGATGATCATCGGACCAATTCGTTGTATCCCAAGATGCGACGTGTATAATTATTATACACAAACTAGTTTTGCCACAGAATTTAGAAATTGGACAGCCTCACTTGACCAGTGGATTCAGTCTGAAGAAAAGCACAAGAGTACAACGCCAAGGAGAAGAACCATGTTTATTGCCAACACCATACTGGTAGCTTGCTTTACAAGAAAGAGGGAGCCTGAACAATGGATAAGCCAAGATTGTTATAGAGGGCTACAAGTTGGCAACATCCTAGGGATCGGATTGGCTGCTCTGTTTGGGAAAGCTAATCAAGTCCTTGTCTGTGTACCTGGGGTGAGTTCTGCTTTTAGGCAAAATGGGCTTTTAGGAGAACAGCAATGCTGGGAAAGCCCGTTGTTAAGGCGATGGAAGGCTGAGGCCATCAGGAGATAGAAGGCTGGGTTTCTCCTGGTTGCAACTCCCTTGGGCTGTGCTGTGAGCTGGTGAGGAGACTCTACTCTTTGGTTTAGATGTGGTTGCAGGACGCTTTATCCGGGGCATGGAAAGTCCGCCTAGGTTTGATGGGATTAGTCAAAGAGGTGAACAGGGTTTGACCCTAATGTCCAAAGATCAGGGAGCAAAAGGGTAGTATGTTCGTTTTGTTTATTAGATTTATTTTCTGTACTGTGGTAGGGCTAAGCATTTTGTGGTGCAGGGAGCAAGATAGGATTGGGCAAAGCCAAGGAGACACAGTTTCTTGGGTTTGGGAAGGAGTAGGCAGAGCGCGGAGGGAGAAGGCAAAAGGTTTTTCTTTAGGAAGAAATTGTCTGGCAGCTCCAGAAAACTCAAGGCATGCAAAACTGCTCCGTTTCCTTTGAAGCGGGAGCTGAGCCAGTTCTCTTGCAGAATTCATTGCCTTGGCTTCCCCAGGTGACAGAAATCCCTTTCCCAGAAGGACATTTGGACCTGGTGAGGTTTCTGACTAGCTGCATCTTTTGAATGTGAAATAAGCTACAGATAGTCCTAACAAAGAGATTGTGTACATACAGTATACCTGTTTGGATTCTCATGTTTTACTAAAACACAGTTTGCTTTTACCAGAGTTTTTCAGAAAGCTACAAATTCCTTGATTCAGGCAATATGTTCTCTGATAAACTATGATTTACAAATGGTTAGATCAAAACATTTTGCCAAGCCAGAACCAAGCCAATCTGATTATGGTTTAATGTAATGTGAACCTAAAGTGTCTCTTTGAATAACAAGATGGGTGGTAAATAAATT